GACTATATGCCCTGTGGCCCATGCTTCTCCTCCATCCCTCATCCCGGTCCAGTAAGTTTCACAAAAGTGGTGCTTAACACAAAGGTTTTGGCTAAATAATCAAAGGAGTGCTACATTAGAACAAGTAGCTCTATTCTGCTACCACACCACAACTACCAGGGAAGAAAACTCAGAGCATTTATCACCAGCTACCCTCCTCTCAAGAGATTTTTTTTATCTTTTTGTAATACAAAGAACACTGCCGTTCCACAAAATGAGAGCAACTCCAAGAAACCTTAACATGCTCATCATTCTTAAATCTGTAATATAGTTGGTGAGCAGTACATTTTTTAGAGCAAATATTTTTGGATTTAATTATGCATAATAATTTTTGACCACTATTGTTTAATAAAAGAGGGTAGTGTGGAAGAATTCGCTATTTGGGAATTAAAAGAGATGAGATTGTTTCTTTATTTTAACAAATGAAAAATTTGAAATGTAGATTATTTCAGAGGTATTACACATTTATCATTTTAGACATTTTCTAAATGAAGGGTATTTCCAGTATGGAGCTGAATCTATTTTAGTCAATTAGATATAAACAATTGTCATAAAAATAGTTACTTCACAAAGGAGTGCCATTAAAATATCAAGAATTTTGGAAGTTTTTCTTAAGTTTACAAGTGATCACTCTGCAACTGATTTTACAGTTAAGTTGACTTAGCAACCCCTTTACCACAAGAGTTTCAAAGATAATATTGTTAGGGTCTACATTTATATGATCAAATTAATGAATCATGAGAACATATTTATTTTTACATGTTTTCTGCTGCATTTTCCCACAGTCACTATCTATTTCTACTCAATCAAATGTTTTTGACAGATACATTACCACAAAGCAAGATTCTTGAGTTTTTAGAAAGAAATTAATTTGGTTTAATTGCTGCTTATAAAGTTGCCATTGTGACTGAGTTATTGGTAGACTAAACTAATAGTGTCTCAAAGGAAGGGGTCATATCCAAATGTATGGGAGAAATGTCTAACATCCAACACAGTACAGAGTACCTGATACATACTTGGTACTCTTAAACTGGGCAAAGTGACAGCATAAAATTACATTTTAATGTAATATCTCACAGCATTAAAATCATAGCTGTATGGTAACCGTTAACAAATTCTGTTGGGGAACTGAAGATGTTAGAAACAGAGAGGAAGCTGACATCAGATGTTTCTCTTCTTAGCATCTGGATGGCAACAGATTTGAGCTCTGAGTTTCAGGTCTCCCTAAATTATCCATGCCCAGCATTGTGTAAATCTAACAGAAAAATTAAAAAGCCTATGAGTTATAAACTTTAAAGGAAGAGATTTATAGAAGCCTTGAGAATGCTGCTTTTTGTTTTTAAAGAAAATCATAAAATCCTCAGCAGCTGCCTCCCACTACCACTGCTTAGATGTCCCCTCTTTCGATACAGCTTTCCTCATGGCCAAAATTGGCCTAGGTGGTCCTGTCTCATGCTTCCATATGGCTCTGTGCTCACCACAGGCAAAGCATGTTGAAATGGGCTGTGTGTATCCAGCTAAGCTCACAGAGGGCATAAGCTGTGTCTTGTTCGTTATCGTATCTCAAATGCCTGACCCAGTGCCTAGTATAGAGTAACTGAGTGAATGAATACTGCTTTTTTGGTGGCAGTAAAGATATGAAGACAAATATGGTAATATGTTTTTTAAATGGGGGTAGTAGCCTACCAACAAATTTGGTCTTGAATTAGCCTTTTTTTTTTTTTTTTTTTTTTTGAGACAGAGTCTTCCTCTGTCTCCCAGGATGCAGTGGCACGATCTCAGCTCACTGCAAGCTCCACCTCCCAGGTTCACGCCATCCTCCTGCCTCAGCCTCCCGAGCAGCTGGGACTACAGGCGCCTGCCACCACGCCCGACTAATTTTTTTGTATTTTTAGTAGAGACGGGGTTTCACCATGTTAGCCAGGATGGTCTCGATCTCCTGATCTCGTGATCTGCCTGCCTCAGCCTCCCAAAGTGCTGGGATTACAGGCGTGAGCCACCGTGCCTGGCCAAATTAGCATTTTATAATAAATATCAAAAAACTGTCTTCCCTTCGGTAATAGCCTAAGTATATAAAGACTTCCTGCAAGAAGATAATAAAAAAATACAAAGACTCCACAAGCTACATGAACAAAGGACGTAATTAAGCAATTCACAGAAGAGAAATTACAAATGGCAAATAAATATGAATAAAAATCCTTCTACCTCAGTAACTTTTTAAAACTGTACTTAAATAATGAGATACAATTTAGCATAAAACCTTGTATAGAGTGAAATGGACCATCACATTTACTTCAGTGAAAACTTGTCATACCTTTATATACTCATACACACATATGCACACACACAAGCATACACCCTAAACTTACGCCTTTTCACCAAAGAATTCTAACCTCAGGAAATAGAAATGCGATTGGCTATATGTATGCAGGGAGATTATTGTCTCACTGTTATGTGTCACAGCAAAGTATTGGAAGCACCTTAATATTTAACAGTCGAGAAATGGTCAAGGTAACTCATCTATATAATAGACAATTAATGAAGCTATTACACAGCATAAGAATATGCTCACTATGCAGTTAAGGGAAAAAAGCAAGATGCAAAACAATATACACTGTGCTTCCATATATAAAAAAGAAAAAAAAACTGAATATGCAGTATGCTTCTATAGATACAAAAGAAAAAAAAACCCAGCAACTCTCATTCTATTCTTTGTTTCTATGAGTTGGATGTTTGTAGATTCCATGCATCAGTGAGTAAATAGTACAATAGTAAAATATAGTTGAGTATTTCCTGATGCAGAGATTATATGTGTTAATTCCTTATTTTTTCCCTTTTAATATTTTTCAAGTTTTTTTACAATGAGCACAGAAAAAAATGTTTACAAGAAAGCCTTCTTTGAAGATTCATCATCCAGAGCTAGTACTTTCAATGTGATGAACAAGAGTTCATCCTGTCCACATCCAGTAGCTGATCAGGAAATCTACAGAGAAAGGCATGACTATCATCTTCTGTTGAGCCCTTCCTCTCAAGGTCTTATAAGTGCTCTTTTTATTTCCTTGCACTGGGGACTGGACTATGCTTGTGTCTACCAATGGCAAGATCTTGTCCCCCCTAGATTTACCGAGGTATAATTGACAAATAAAAAGTATATCTACACAGTGTACATCATGATGTTTTGATATATGTATACACTGTGAAATGATTACTAAAATCAAGTTAATCAATATATCCATCACCTCACATAGTTATCATTTTTTGTGATAACATTTAAGGTCTCTCTTTGCAGTTTTCAAGTAAACGTCATTATTATCTGTAGTCAACATGGTGTACAAATTTCCAAAAGTTACGCATGCTGTCCAACTGAAACTGTAACCTTTGACCAACATCTTCCCATTCTCTCTCCTTCCTAGAGCCCCTGGCAACTATCATTCTATGCTCTGTTTCTATGAGTTGGGTGTTTGTAGATTCCCCATATAAGTGAGATCATGTAGTATTCGTCTTTTTGAGAGACAGATATATCACATTTTCTTTATCCATTCATTCATTAGTGGACACTTAGGTTGATTCCATATTGTGGCTACTGTGAATAGTGCTGCACTGAGCACGGGAGTACAGCTACCTCTTCAATATACTGATTTCATTTCCTTTGGATATATACCCAGAAGTGGAATCGCTGGATCCTATGATAATTCTATTTTTAGTCTTTTGTAGAACCTTCATACTGTTTTCCATACTGGCTGTACTATTTTACATTCTCACCAACAGGGTACAGGGGTTCCCTCTTCTCTGCATCCTCACCAACACTAATTATCTTTTGTCTTTAGAATAGCCATTCTAATTGGTATGAGGTGATAGCTCATTGTGGTTTGGTGAGGTTTTTAAATTTTTTTATGTTTTTATTTTTTGAGACATAGTCTCACTCTGTTGCCCAGGCTGGAGTGCAGTAGCATGATCATGGCTCACTGCAGCCTTGATCTCCTGGGGTCAAGTGAGCCTCCCACCTCAGCCTCTCATTTAAGTGGGATGACAGGCACATGCCACTATGCCCAGCTAATTTCTTGTAGAGATGGGATCTCACTATGTTGCCTGGGCTGGTCTTGAACTCCTGGCCTCAAGTGATCCTCCCACCTCAGCCTCCCAAAGTGCTGGAGTTATAGGTGAGGGCCACTGTGCCTGGCTTGTTGGAACCGAACTGTCGATTCCCTCCTGGGCAGGGGTCGCCGCGAAGGATCACCGACACGAGATTCACAGCAGAGAGTTATTTATTACTAGCGCGCTAGGGTCCCAAGCTCTAAGTTGGCCCTGGGACCCCGACTGCTTGTTACAGGCTGTTTATATAGGCAAACACAAGTTCAAACACAGCTTAGGGCGCGAAATTCAAACAAAGCTTTAGGCGCGTGGTAATTGGGTCTGTCTATGGCCTGAGCAAGGTGTCTTGTTCTAATTGGTTAGAGCAGGACCTTATGAGGTTTTTTTCCTGGAGTTGTTGATTCCGGGAACTTCGAGGCAGGGTGGGACCCCCGGAATTGGCAGGGTGGGACCCCATGAGGTTGTTTCCCGGAATTGGCAGGGTGGGACCCTATCAGGGTGGGACCCTATCGAGGCAGGGTGGGACCCTATCCAGAGCCACGTGGTGTTAATTTTTTTAAGTTCTTTTTTTATGAGGCCTAGTTTCTAAGTTTTATGCGGCCTAGTTTCAGCTCATTGTGGTTTTAATTTGCATTTCCCTGATGATTAGTGATGTTGAGCATTTTTTTCATATTCCTATTGACTATGTGCATGTCTCGTTTTAAAAAATGTCTATTCAGGTCCTTTCCCCATTTTTAATTGGGTTATTCGTTTTCTTGCTATTGAGCTGTTTGAGTTCCTTATATATTTTGGGTATTAAACCTTATCAGATATGTGATCTGCAAAACTGGCAAGGTCTGTGTAACCAGTGTGCTCTGCCACTCACACAGCAACCCTGATCTCCGGAGAACTGAGCCCATCTTGGAGAGTCCTTTGCAGAGGACCAGCAGTGGCAGTTCCTCCAGCTCCAGCACACCCAGCTCCCAGCCCAGCTCCCAAGGAGGCTCCCAGCCTGGATCACAAGCTGGATCCAGTGAACGCACCAGAGTTCGAGGTAAAACTTTCTCTTACCTTTACCTGGCAATACTGCCTGGGAGGAAAGCTGTGGACGGGGAAAGAAAGGTTAGTTACTTCCTGACTCTAGTCCAGGCATGGCCACCACTGGGTGATCCTGAAGAGCCCCTCAACTGCTCTCAACCTCAGTCTCCTCAGGGGAGTGGGCCACTGTCCCTAATTGTGTGTGTGCCATCAGTATGGACAAAATCCTTTCTTATGTCAGATACCAGTGTTTTCCAGGGAGATCACCAAATATCAGACTTACTTGAAAATACAGTCACTTACCAGTCACCTGAATTCCTGTTTCTGTTTGATTGCCAGTTTTCAGAGTTTCAAGTACCCGCAAATGTCCTGTACCCATTGCACCAATTGTCCTGTTTAGTATTCTGAACATAGTTCATAAGCACAGTTCAGAATACCATGTATTTCTCAAAATGAAATTCAATGAAGACTGATGTAGAATACACTTGAAGGAAGGAATAAAATCTTTTACTTAAAAAACATATTTAGGCTGGGCGCGGTGGCTCACGCCTGTAATCCCAGCACATTGGGAAGCCGAGGCAGGCAGATCACCTAAGGTCGGGAGTTCCAAGACCAGCCTGACCAATATGGAGAAACCCCATCGATACTAAAAATACAAAAACTTAGCCGGGCGTGGTGGCACATGCCTGTAATCTCAGCTACTTGGGAGGCTGAGGCAGGAGAATCGCTTGAACCCAGGAGGCGGAGGTTGCGGTGAACCAAGATCACGCCATTGCACTCCAGCCTGGGCAACAAGAATGAAACTCCATCTAAAAAAAAAAAAAAAAAAAGACTCCTCTGGTTATTCCTATTAGGTGAAAATTAGTCTCTCTAAATATTTAATTCAAATTATTCATCATTGTTTAATTTCCATTAATGGGGAAGCCTATGAAAAACATTATTATTGTCCAGGTGATGATACATAAGAATACATTGTTTCTAGCTAGCTAAAATTCACTCTTTTTGAATCAACTTCTTCAGAAGATAATTTTGCTTCCACGTGAAGGACCAGTACTTTAATTGCAATGTGACAAACATTAACGTACTTACAAGTTTCTCTGTCTGATGAAAGCCTGATGAGAACCTTCATTTCTTCTTTCTTTCTTAGACTCTTTATTACATACCACCTCCTAATACTCTTAGTTTATCTCCTAATACTACCCTTTCAGGGTTTTAAATAAATCACTGTATTTCCATTTTAAAAAGCTTGGTATCTAACATGTGATTGATGTTCATATCTCTGAATTGGGATACGGACTGGTCAAGAGCTGCCTCTATATGCATTCTTCTGATCAGTGGCACATCTCAGAGGTACTTACTGTATGTCTTTGTTGCCTTGATCCAAATATAAATTTCCTTAACTTAGAAAACTACCAGGTGTAGTGGCTTATGCCTGTAGTCCTAGGTACGCGGAAGGCCGAGGTGGAAGAATTGCTTAAGCTCAGGAGTTCAAGTCTGCAGTGAGCTATGATGGCCCCACTGTACTCCAGGCTGGGTGACAGAGCCCTATCTCTAGAAAACATAAAGGAAAGAAAGAAAACAGCCATTCTCTTACCTTTTTTCTATTTATAGACAACTTCATATTCTTAGAGCAAATGTTTAAGTAAACCAAACTTAAACACATACCATTTTAATTCTGTGATCTAGTTCAGGCTTACTTTTTATTTCCTTCAGCCCTTTATTCTTCTGGATTAAAAGCACTCTTGTATCCCCAGTATGTCCCTGCCCAAGAAAGACTACTTTTTAAAAAATAAAAACAACCTCTCTTACCCTAAATTACATCTTCTCTATCTGTAAGCTCCTAGACCGCAGAGAGGCTATTCACTCTGCAGCTGTCGGGGTCCGCCTTGCTCTGTACCTCCAGTCTAGGGCCCTTCTCCTGTAACAACCTCCTTCCTGCCCTCACCTCATTCTTTTATTTTTAAATGGCTGAGACCACTCCCATCCCTAATTAAAAACCGTCCCACCAAATAAAATAAGTTTCTTTTTTTTTTCCACACAAAATTTCAACAAAATAACCTATCCTGATTGGACAGATGATAAAAGAAGAAAACAAGCATAGAACCTTAGAGGCTCATTTAGCATAGTGACTGAGAATAGGACTTTCAGAAATCAGAACTCCAGCTCTGTGTATAATTTCAGTGTGACCTCAGGACAGTCATGTCATCTTTGTAAATCTGTGTTCTGTAAAATAGGAAAATAGTGCCACATCATTGGGTTGGAGTGAGGATTATATGAGATAATTGACATAGAAAGCATTTAGCACTATGCCTGACACATAAGAAGTGCTCTAGTGGTGATGGTACTTGCTACAGTTTTTTTTTTTAATTGTTACTAGTGATTTCCAGGTGACAAACCTAAATGTGTTTGCCTGAACATTATATTTTTCATGGATGTGCTTGAGGATTTGCCTAAGCGAATGACGTGTCCACTGAGTAATCTCAATGTGATGACACATCACAGATGATTCATTCAGAACCTGAGCCAGCACTTTTTGATGGCCATCTCTTTCTTGGTCCTCTGTTTTTCCCTCTAGCCAACAGTAAGTCAGAAGGATCACCTGTACTCCCCCATGAGCCTGCCAAGGTGAAACCAGAAGAATCCAGGGACATTACCCGGCCCAGTCGACCAGCTGTGAGTGCATTTCTCTCCAAGAGTTTTGAACTCTTAATTTACCAGAGAACCCACAGGATTAAGTAGTTGGGGATACACTCATGATACGAACAAAAATTGTCAAGATTAGTAAGAACAGATGCTAGAAACATCCAGCAGAAAGTCATCCTTGATTAGGAAAGAACTGAAGAGATCTTGGATTGCCTCCTCTGCCTTTGGCTATTTGCTGATCATTAGCAGTCCTTTAACTATACAACAGGAGGAGAAATAACTTCTATCATTCCATAATTTCTACTCAGCAATTTTGGCAAAAAAGAAAGAAGTTAAAGAGGCTTGGGTACTTTCTGTGAATTTCTCTAATCTCTTCTACCCTTTCCCCATATTATTTTCCACATGAATTAATATTACAGTTTTTCTGCTATTTTTCATACCTCCAGGACAATATTTTTCTGGACCAAACTTATTAAGCAGTGTCCAACAGGTGTCCTAACAACTTAATATTCAGCTTCACTGCTGTAACATGATAAACCCCCAAGTAGTCTTAAAGAGGAGTATGGAGGCTGAAATTTGAAAGTTGAAAATTAATTTGGGTTGAATTACTATCTACTTTTTCTATTTAAATCTCTTGAGAATCTTTTCTGTGAAATGAACGTGAAGCTTTTTGGTTTATTCTTTTTTAACACCTTAAAGTAAGGACGTATACTGAGAGTAATAATGAAGGGATTTGCATCATCCTGGGTTGACATTCTCTTCGCCCTTTTGTATTTATCAGTTGCGTACTAACAATTCCAATTTTGTGTCTAATCTGCTGCCTTTCTGCTGGCTTTTCCTCCTTCTGTGGATTCTTCTGGATTGGGTTCCTCTCATTTCAGAGCTATAAAAAAGCTATAGATGAGGTTAGTATTACTTTTTCTTGGTCATGCTTTCACAAAATGTAAATATTAAACTTGTTTCCTAATGTCGACATTCAGAAAGGTGGCCAGTGGGAGCAATCTGCTGGGAGGAGGTTTGCAGCAATCTGCTGGGAGGAGAGCCCCTTCAAATGGAAGCCAGTTTTAAGACCCTCAGACCTACCCATATAGCTTCAGAGACCTTCCTTCTAAGCTAAAATGTCACTTTTCCAATGTTCCAGTCTGGCTAATGACAAGTATTCATGCTTTATTAATGGCAGTTTCTCCTTCCATTATCTTCCAATAGCAAACCTGTACTAGCCAGCCTTGCTAGGGAATGGCTCTCAGCAGTTTTACTAACAAGAAAAGAGATATCATTCTAGGGCACTCCAAATTTAGTGTGTGTGATTTGTGAACAAGGAGTAAGTAGGTATTGTTAGATTAATTTTGTGGGACATTAACAACAGCATCAGCAGCAACATCAGCTTTAGTTAATGAATCCTGGAAAGTTAAGTGACTTTATTTCCTTATCTGTGGAGACGTTTTCCATTAGAAAAATATATGGCTTTGTCAGTCGTAGGTAGCTTGCTAAGAAGGATGACTGCTTTACTGCTATTTGTCAGACCTGCATGAATACAGCAGAGTAGAATTTGTTTTTTTAAGGTCCAGGCCTTGCAGAGAGTCCTAAATGCATGGAATCTAAAGACTACCATCATGGCTTTAAAGCTGTCGTTCTGCTGAGCACTACTTTTGTGAAAATTACGTGGAAAAAGCACTGGCTTTGAGGTCAGCAAGCTGCATTCAAATCTTGGCTCCCCCAGTAAATAACTGGCTGAAACTAGTCTCATAACCTCTCTGGGCCAGAGTTTCCTCATCTGTAAAATGAGAATAAAAACACCTCCCCATCCCACTTACAAGGTGTAGGATCATTTAAGGTAATGTTTGTGAAAGCATTTTATGATGTGTAACATGCTGCGGAAAGCCAAGGGTTTGATTAAGGTTTGGGCCAGAGGCATGGAGTTATTTTGGCAGGTGGGAGAAGCATGTTTCCATGCATCTGGTCTTCACCAAAGAGCTTCACTTTTTCAGACTTATGGCCACCTCACCACCCAGAGTGACTGAGACAGTTATAATCATAGTTGAAGGATTGTTGCTTATAAAAGAATGAGACTCTGCATGTTTGCAGTGTGTGGATGGCATTTACAGAAAGGGAAGAGGGGAGTGTGTTTTTAATTGCTCTGTGCCATGGCCTTGCTTGCCCCTCTCTCATAATAGCGAGAAGGACAGGGATTATCACAACTTTTGTCAGTTTTTCTCCCAGAACAGGTAAAGAAAGACAATGAAGTTCTGGCGCTACAGTTCTCAATAAAACAGTTGTGCTTATGCACAACTCAAGAGGAAATACATGAGTTCAGAAATTGGCTTGGAGGGGCTTTCATTAAGGAAAAGGCTCTCACAGATTTCATCTGGTTAACCGAGAATATTTTAGGCTTTGAAAAATTGCTCTACTAATTTTTGGTGTACTGCATTGCACTGGACAGAGATGAAAGGGGGCAATGGAAGTATAAGTAATTACAAATAATTGAGGGGGTGTGACCTGCTTACTAAAATCTCTGGAGCTATGTATGGTTAGAAAAGCCCTATCCCAATCTCTTGAGTATCACTGATCCAAACCACTACAATAAAGCGGTTCTACCTAACCCAGTGGCTCTCAACCAGGGCTGATTCCTCCACTCCTCTTCCCTTAGGAGACATTTGGCAAAATCTGGAGCCGGTTTTGGTTGTCACAGCTTCAGAGTGGGAGGCAGTGGTACTGGTGTCTTGTGGATAGAGCAGAGGGGCGCTGCCAAACATCCTATGGTGCACAGAGAGCTCCCTACAATAAAGAATTATCTGGCCCAAAATGTCAACAGTGCCATAATTGAGAAACTTTGAACCACACCTTTCTCCCTTCTCCATTCATAGGTTTTGGTAGGGCTTTCCTCGCACTGACCGGTTTTACAATTTAGATAACTGGGATTGAAATGAAAAACCTAAAAATCATTTTTGAAATATTGTTGCTTGTTATTGCTAGTGATTTAACTTTTTGTAAAAATTAATTTGTGGGAGTGTACATTAATTTGACATTTCTTTCTAATGGAATATGAGATTTTTGCAGCATAGTCTAATTATTTAATATAGTCTGAAAATAAATGTTCCTTTTTTGTTGGCACAATTAAATATGTCTCACAAAGATTATATGCATAAGAAAACACTGTTTTTACCACTTTTTTTTAATTAATATGTGGGAATCAAACATTTCAGAGCACATCAATTTAGATTGGATGGAATTTGAGCAATAACTAAGGGTTCAACCCCCTTTTCTCTCAGATGAGGATATTGAAACTAAGTGGCTTGCCCAATGTCATATCTTTAGAGTTCCTAAAAAGAAAATAGTTTAATACAAAGAGAAAAAAAACCAGCTAAAAAAATTTAAACAAAATAGTTCAAAAATTGAACTAATATTTGACTAAACTATGTTGTTTCTAAAAAGGGACCTAAAAGAGCGCCTTTCTAGTCAACGTGTGCATAATCGTTAAACAACCTTTGTTGAATGAAAAATTATATCTAGTTGATTCTAAAAACTGTTAAATAAGCCTCTTAGCTATCTTCACATTTACTCTGTAGTCAAAAATTCTTACCATTTTGCCATATTTCTTTTTTAGCTATATATTCTCAAACATTTTCATGCTAAATAGCACTTTTATTTTGTTTTTTAAATACTTTTTAGCTCCAGGCTTGAGACAGCCAAGTAATAAATTACCATGAAAGCTCGTTATATGGGGAAATTTGTATTGTCTAAGAATAAAATATATGAAAATGGAATTGAACCCAATGGTGTTAATATTAGATTGTGTTTATTTCCTATAACTTTGCTATTATAAATTTTTCAATACTGGATGGATAAGAAACAAAACTTCAGCTGAACACATAGGTTCTCAGCAATGGAAGATTAATTTTCTTTGACTACAGGTATTACTTTTGAATTACTCATTATTTTTACCTTTTCAAAGGGATTCTCGTATATGTCTCGCCTCCAAACTGTTAACAATTAAAGGAAATTTTCAGTTATTTCTAATGTTTCAGGGCAGAGAGCTTTTTAATAACACAGAAGCAAAAAATTATAATTAAAAGCAAAATTATTAAGCAGTTCAGAATTTTAAAGTGTTTCTAAATACAATGTTTCGAAAAATGTAGGTCATTTTAACAAGCGAAAGTTTTTTTAAATCAGTAGCCTGTGGACTAAATATTTCTAAAATAATTTTAATTTTTTAGAATTTCTTTTGTCTCGTTTTGAAATGTCAGCGATAAGGAAAATAAAGCGCTGGGGAAAATGTATCATTAATTAAAATAAACCATAGCCAACAGTATTATATTTTACTCAGAATTATTGACAATGGAAATAAACTCTTTTAAACCATATTCTCTCTTTAAATTGTATAAAATGTAATTCTTAATAACAAGTAACATTTTAAATGCTAGCTATATTCTTTGATGAGACTTAACACGGTCCTAATATATAGATATCAGAATACAAAATAAATTTATCTAATTTTTCATTATTTCACTGGTTTTCTTTCATAGCCTTAACAAATATCTAGACTTTATTTTCCCAAAGTACTCAAGAATAGCATACCCTTCACTTGCTTCTTCATTTGATAAAGATAAGCATTGACAATTGCCAGGAGGAAATAAGAAGTAAAAGTTGAAATTCAGATATTAGCTTTTCTTATTTTGACTAATTGCCAAAGAAACCAGAAATAAATTTGCATGAAATTATACCTATGTTATGGTTTTCCTCTTCTTTTTATAATATACATTATATTTAAACACAGTTGGGCCTTTTAAATACAATTCTATTTTCACTTTCACAGATGGGGCAAATACATTCACTGAGATTGAGGCATGTGCAAGTGTGCCTGTGTGCAAAAGCCCTACCCAAGTGTGTTTTTGTATGTAATGCAAGGGTTGAATTTTTAGAAGCTTCCATTTTTTAAGGGTTTCAAATCAGGTGTCGTCAAGACAAATTTAAAAGTCACTTTGCTTTCCCTTTGATTTCTATGAAATTAGAAAGAAATGACCCTTCAGTTAACACTATGAATTGCCTAAATTTCTAGACCATGTAAAACACCTAAAGCGTTTCCTTTCCTAGTGTGAACCAAAATAGTAATGCCTGACATACAGGTGGCAGTAGACAAACATAATGTCTTGTTGTATTCTCAAAATAAAATTATAATTTAACTATACACATTTATCACAGCTTTTCTTTTAACCAGTTAGGATAGATTATCAAATGTCATCACCCAGGTTGCTCTAATCCTACAATCAGGTGAATTGGATGTGTACATTTTTGGATTGAAATAAAGAGAGAATATGGCCATAGAAAACTGTGGGATTTAGTATTTTTCAATGAGTTTCTTTCTCCCTAATCCCCTGTCTCTCACTGAATGCTCTGATTCCCACATGGGTCACTAATATAGGGAGAAATGGTAAGACTGATGTCAAATTGCTTTTTCCTCATTTGCATGCTGTGTGCCATGGGCAGTTTAACCCATGCAAATTAGAGCGGCCATGCTTTTGCAGAACTGCTTCCCTCTGCATTGCTCTGAAAGCATGTAAAATAAAAGGTAGTCGGATATTCAGCACACTGCCTGCAGTATGCCTGGTGATTAAATCCCACATCATCACATCCATAAGGCTAAAGGTTTCATCATACTCATGGAAAACTCAAAATTTTCTCTTCCTTTTGGTATTTGCACATTCATTTTAGTGTTCTTCACCAGGATTTCTGCCAGATGACTGGAATTTAAAACAAAAGAAAATGAAACACCTATCATTTTGGAAGAGAACTCTTTTTGTTGTTGTTGTTGTTCCTCTTGATTAATTCAGTTCTGTGGCTGTAAATTTCAGTGGCGCTAGGCTTTAGGATGGGCCATGATTTGATGTGGTACCTCTATTCTCCAGGGAATGATGACACACCAAATGAGTCATTGTAGTAGCTGGAACCTTGGGAATTGCTCTGTTCTATGACTGATGCTAGATTTTGGTACAGTAGCAATCACAAGAGGGGAAAAGCTATCACTGTGGCTTGGGCAGGAGTCCCAGAATACCGGGGTACAATTTCTAATCCCATGTATTTTCCCATTAACTCTGGGGGTGACCAGCTTCACCTTTCCAAAATGAGAACCCAATGTTTGTATATATGTGTATACATACAATGCACATACACATATGTACACATATATATTCAGAACTGAACAGTCTCAGTCTAGCTATTGGTTTTGAACAAAGTTTAAATTGATTTCATCTTTCTTTTCTAGCTTCTACACGCTACAAACATCATTTTCTTAGTTCCATGCAGTAACTATGTTTGTCACAGTTCTATATAGAGCTTTTTTTTCTCGTTGCTTAAGCTGGAGCACTGACTTGCTGAGAGATGTAGCTTTGGTCAAATCTACCATTCATATGCTGAACAAATTTTTTCTTTCATAGGATCTGACGGCATTAGCCAAAGAACTAAGAGAACTCCGGATTGAAGAAACAAACCGCCCAATGAAGAAGGTGACTGATTACTCCTCCTCCAGTGAGGAGTCAGAAAGTAGTGAGGAAGAGGAGGAAGATGGAGAGAGTGAGACCCATGATGGGACAGTGGCTGTCAGCGACATACCCAGACTGATGTAAGAGAACTACTTTTAAAATGTAGACAAGGAAGGGACTAGGTTTCCAAAATAAAAGGACAAAAAATATGAGTTAAATGTAAGATTGTATATGGGTCTGTGGCAAGATAAACTGACTTTGGGGACTTGGGTTTTTGTTGGAGAATAGTTCTATAATTCTCTCTCTCTATGGACACATCACTTAGAATATGTAGCATTTTTGGACTGCATACACTTTATCCATTGCCAATGGATTGACTGTCCTTTGGTGACTCTTTGTTGGTTCTTTTCATCTCAAGGGCAAACAATATCGACAACCAGACCATTGATAAGTGCCTTCCCCTCTAAAACTGAAAGACTGAAATCATGGGCAATGACATTTAGGAATCAAAATTAACAACAGAAAACATGTATTTCATTACCAACACTACCACCAACAAGCAAGGAGAAATGTACAAGCCAGCGTGCATTACCATCCCAGCAAAAGAAATCAGGACTCAGATAATCATGCAGAGAAAGTTCCAAAATATATCCCCGTTATGATTTTCTACTTTATTCCCTCCATGGCTTCTTTTACTTGATCCATTTTTCTGTGGTCTACATCTTTGCCACATACTTTCTGTCAGTCTCTTTGCAGTTTTCTTTTAATATATCTACATGTAATATTTATACCTACCTATATTTTCTTTAGTAATTGTAGTCTTTATTTTTCTTTCTCTTTTTTTTTAAGGTGAGGGGAAAGCTCTTTTTTTTTTTTTTTTTTTTTTTCTTATTGGAGTGGATCCCATGAAAGAACCTGTTATCCCCTGTTGTTTCCCCAATTCCTCCACCTAGTAAACACAAGGTGTTTGTGCCCTGGTCTGCTACAACCTTGATAGAATGAGATGCTAATTTTTCCAACTTCACACTCCAATCACCTCTATTTCTTTGGCTCAGCTACTAGCATTGAATATCAGATCACACTCACTCTATGTAGAAAAGAAGCCATTTCAGGCCACAAATTATTGTCCAATTCAGCAGGGACTGGAGAGGCAGGGCTGGCCAGTCTAAAGGGAATGTCATCCACTGATTAACATCATTACATACAAGCAATTCTAAGAGGCAAATCTAATTATCATAGCTGAAAAATCCATACTGGTTATTTTGCTGTTGATGACCCAGTTTTTGACAGCTGTAAATATGCTAAAATATGACATTTTGAAACAAATTGCATTAAATTGCCTTTTTAAAAGTAAATAAAATTGTTCTAGAGGCAAAATCACTAATCCAGAACATTTCTGCAAAACATGCTGGCCCTTTTAGTTTTTGTCTTGACTCAGAATTGCTTAATTCTTCTGACAGATGTTTTCAACTCCTTTTAAGCATTGAGCATGCAAGTATCAGGAATTAAATCATGAAATGAATTTTAATCATGATATTAAAATATTGCTAAAACTCTATGTGTTAGCCACCTTGCTGAAGTCTTTGAGAAATTTGATAAGTTCGTACTTGGATTTTGTCTTCCAAAAGTTTATATGCTAGTTGGAGAATGACAAAATTACACATGGAAGAGTGCAGGCTAATATAAATATTTGGAGGAACAACCAAAGATGTTAATTAGCATTTGGGTTTTAGGTCCCCTATCATATTTTGCAAGGCTATTAATGGTGTTCACCCTCCTACCTTTAAAGGAAAATCTAGGACTTCTTCCCCATTGCAGAAACACCCACCTTTCTAAAATTTCCTGAATAGACCACGCTGCACTTCTGTCTGGCATTTCCTTTTCCTTTAGAAATCACCTACTCACAGCCCCGCCTGCACAGGTAGAACCTGTCCCCTCTTCTGTGCTACCACTGTATCTTCTGTGTATTCCTGCATCTTCATGTACTGCCTTGAATCAGGATTGTTTATTATGTGTCTTTGTCTCCTTTTCTGGACTATGATATCTTTCAGGGTAAGGGTTACGCCTTACTCATCTCTCTTGCTCTTAACACATTGATTGCATGGTATCTGGCATACAGTGGGTCTTCAGTGACTATAATTTACATTTAATTGCACTGATTTGAATTTGCAAGTTCTGACTTTGAAGAAGAGTTTATAGCCAATTCTATGCAAATAACTGTCAGCAAGATTAAAAATCTAAGGTAATATTAGAATCCCAAGCAGGGGGAAGAGTTAAAGTAAAGACACAGAAAGTTGACTTTGGTGGGAATGTATGGTGTATGGAATGGAGGGGAGTCTGGACTAGTGAAATCAGACCAAGAAATGTGCTCTTTATATGTAGCCACTGGAAACCATTGAATGTATCTTGAGTTCAGTGTTATATTTGAGGAAGATTATTTCAGCAAGATGATTTGAAAAGGGAACAGACTAGAGACTGATAAAGCAATTCAGAGGCTCTATTACTATAATCTACATAAGAAATAATAAGCTGAGGCTATCATGGAATGCTGATAGTGGAGGCAAGACTTGACATGGTCCTTAAGGGATTGGTAAATTTTAGATAGATGGAAATGATCGTTAAAGAACATTTAAAATATGTGATTATATATGTGAGAAAATAAGGGTACGAAGGGTACAAATGTGTGTATGTTTACTTCAATTTGTAAATATATGTATTTTTATATTGCATATAAAATATATATAGTCTGTTCTACAATGTGATGGTTACATGCCTGAGAAATTTCATACTGTTAAAAGTTCATTATAAAACAATAGTTTATTTAGGAATTGAGTATTTGGGGGCCAGAGTGCCTCCTATATACATTCTTATTACCTTTATTTTCTTTTGTTAAGGTAAACCTCTATATTTTGTGCTATATGTATTTAAAGCAGAAAACAAAAATATATTGTAGCACAGTTCCCACCATGAAGTAAACACAGAAAAGCTTCTCAGAAATGGAGCACCAGCCATTTGGACAAACAGCTGTGGTTTCCGATGTTTAAAACAATAGCTTTTTTCTATGCACTGTGCTGGTTTCGCATTTATTTTATAAGATATAACTTATGAGAGTGCACTTAACTAAGTTTATATTCCCTAACTCACCAACTGCACTATTTCCCAATTCTGCATGCATAGAAAAATAATGAGTGGAGGGAAATACACCAAAATTATAGAAATGATTACCTCTGGGTAATATAATTATGGGAGATTTTTATTTTATGTATATCCCCAATTAAATGATGGGCATGGACTAGTTTATAATCAGGGGAAAAAAAAAAAAGCTTTATAGGATAAAAAGAATGCAAGGAAAGGCATTTAATTTGATTTGCATCACATCAAGCAAGCCAAAGAGGCAACCTTCTGTATTAGTATCTTCCCTCAAATACCAGCACCTGCTCCAGAAGGGAAGATTTCGCCACTGTAAAATGACTCTTTTATTTCTCCTTTTTTCTATGCTGTACCCTTTGGAAGGAAGCCACTATGTACAGCCCACACTTGAGGAGTGCAGAATCATGCTTCCCTCCTGTAGGGTAAAATAGCTACATAATTTATTTAGAATTCTTCTGCACTGATGTGCCTCCTCTAGTTATTTATTAATTTATTCCATCATTTATATCAGTATAGATTCGTGGATATAATACTTCTTTATTTTGCTGCTCAAATTTTCTAGTTTTGACCATTGGGAGCTCTTTCAATTAGCTCCTGTGCCTCTTCGACTGACATGCCACCACTTGTGTTTGGGTATTGTTGTGCATGTACATGTGTGTGCATCTGAACACTCTTTACTTTCTGACACTACAAGATGCTCCGATCCGGACTCATTTTGTATATTTCCTATGCCAGTCCTGGAATCAGCCACTTCTTCAGTAACCCTGATTCCTTTCATTGGATGATATTAGAAGCCAATATCTAGGTACCCAGTATGCTCATTACTACTACAATGTCACTTGTTTTAGGCCCTCTCAGCTAACACAGCAAGGAAATATGTGTGTGTTAGTCGCAAGAACTGCTAATCCATGCCCCCATGCTTAACAACATGGCTTTCTCAACTTTTAAAGGATAACAGTTATCCAACGCCTGAGCCCTATCTATCACTCTCATTGCCACTTCCCTAACAGTACATTAACCCATGTATATACAAATATTTCTGTATGTAGCCATTTGTACCTATATTATGCTAAATGTGAATTCATACTGACATCTCCAACTCTAATCCATCACAACAACATGGATCACTCTGACCTCTTCCACTTGCTTATTTGTAAATTCCCATTCCAACAGTCAGAAACCTGGCTTCTGCCATCAACCACTGTATTAGTCCATTTTCATACCTCTATGAAGACATACCTAAGAGTGTATAAAGCTATAAAGAAAAAGCGGTTTAATGGACTCACAGTTCCACATGGCTGGAGAGGCCTCACAATCATGGTGGAAGGTGAATGAGAAACAAAGGCATGTCTTACATGGTGGCAGGCAAGAGAACATGTGCAGGGAAACTGCCCTTTATAAAACCATCAGATCTCATGAGACTTATTCACTATCACAAGAACAGCACAGGAAAAACCCACCTCCATAATTCAATTACCTCCCACCAGGTCCCTCCTATGTCATGGGGATTATGGAAGCTACAATTCAAGATGAGATTTGGGTAGGGACACAGCCACACCATATCAACCACCCATTTACTTAATTGTGCACATCCAGTATTTTTGTATAGCAATATCAAATTTGTTAACCTGTATTCTCATGGGAAACAGTTTTGTCAACTAGAATGTACAGTGTTTATGTGTAGTTCCTCTTGCCTTTAGTATTACAGACTCCACTCATTTCCAAGGTTACTTAGATCAATGCCTTTTTCCCGCATTTCTCCTCACTAAAGTTGTTCATACAATTGTAATATGGTGAGATTCTTTTATCACGGTTTTTAACATTCTTTCCTGGCAGCTTCTGATCTCAATGATTTTTTAAAATGTGTATACATTAACTCTTTCTCCTGTAAAGTTCTATGACATATCTGAATGGATTTTTTGTTATTCTATGATAACCACCCAATTATAAGAAAATTATTTTGGCACATCCTAGTGAACCCAATTTCATAAAATTACAAAACTTACCATTGATTGCTCAAGACATTTTAAATATGCAAATAATATCCTGGTAGCCAATTACTCATCAATTCACAGAAGAGCTATATTTTTACAATAAACCTGAATGAAATCTCTGTTAGATATTAAACAAAGCCCTTGACCCAAGATCTTCAGCGATTTAATAAACATTTATTATGTGCTACCTGCATTCCAGGCACCATGCCTGGCACTGAAAATACCAACATTAATGAGATCTGATCATTGCAGGACTGTGTATTGAATGCAGTGGTAGAGATGCACAAAGGGCAACGTGGAGGGAGAGTGGAGAGCCACCTAAACCATTCCAGTGAGGCTGGGATGGGTTTGGAGGTACCTGAACTATAGCTTAAAGAATGAGTTAGCCAGAAAGAGGCAGACAATAGAAAAGAATCTTCCAGGTAGAGAGGGCAGGCTAAAATCACCAGGGATTTTCTAGCATAATGTGCATAGGAATTATAAGTTAAATGCTGGTAGAGTTAGAAGTTGGAGCAGGATTTTGTTAAAAAATTAGGTTAGTGAGACAGGCAAGAACCAGATAATGGACAGCGTGTAAGCCACAGTAAGGAGCTTCAAGTTTATCCTGTGGTTGATGGGAAGCTACTGAAGATTGAAAGTAGAAGAGTGACTCAGACTTGGTCAGATTTGTGTTTTGGAAGGCTCACTTTCGCAGCCGTGAGGAGTGGATATGAGGGGAAAGGACTGAAGATGGGGTGGCCAGCAAGAAAACTGTTACTCAGGTAACAGAGGAAGCAGGTCTGACTAGGACAGGAGAACTTGATTGTACAAGCATCAGCCTGGCAGATGCCACCAGGCCAGCTGAGCCCCTGACAATAGCAAAGAATCCCTGTCTGATAAAGAAGAAAAGTGGCTGCCCTCATGGAAGACTCTTGATAAAAACTTCATTGATTTGTCAGCTTTATATCATTTTGTTCCAAACAAGTACTAAGGCACAAAGTAAGAAAGAAGAGAGAAAGAAGAGCAAGAAAAAAAATGAAAGATACACACAAGATAAACAAATGAGTGAAGAAATGATATTTTGAAAACTATGATTTACCAATCTACCAAAATGCCAGGAATTCAATTTTTTTCCCATGTCTCTGGAACACCATTAAAAGCTCCTTTCTAGGAATGAAATGTTGAAAATGCAAATGCCTCTTTGGAATTTCTTCCCAAACACATCAGTTCTAGCCCATATTTAGATTCATTCAATCCACTGGTCCAGTTTAGTAATTGCAATGTAAGCTTCTTCACTATACATTTTATTGTCTGGACTCATCCTGTCATCTTTTCACCTGTTTGTTATGGATAAAAATCCTTGAAATATGTCTTTCTCTGCCCCAGAGACATCATAAATCTTGTGTATTTCTTGTTTCTTAGATGGAAGATTCCAGTAATTCTTTGGACTTACATAAGATCCAAGAGGTCAGAGATATTTTTAAATATATAAGTAACAATGAAAATAAAAGAACAAAATGATATAAGTTGCAATTAATATGCCTAGAGAGAAATAAACCTTGATAACTTTCCTATTTTTAGAAAACCCACTTTAAAAGAGAGGCAGATGCTACAAAAGGAGAACAGCAAGTATCGCATTAACAACCAAAATCCTTCTTCCAGAAGCTATGTTGTACCAACCGCAACCTGTGGTTGAGCCGCATGACCTGTGGGATTCTCAATTCCCCTGAGCTCCTAAATCAGAGAAATTCTGTGTCATGCAAATGAGGCACTCCTGATGAGAGGGAAGCTCACTATGGGCAGTCAGTCATCACTTTTTGAGCCCTGGCACTGTGCTGTGTGCTACAGGACACAGGAAACATCAGTCTGTGTTCTCAGGGAGTATGTTGAGATCCTGTTGCCTTCTCTCATTATACTGTAAACACGATAGCAAGAAAATAACTGAAAATAAATATGCCACCATGCAGGATGATTACAGAGGCTGAATGTTGTTTACGTTAAAGCCCCTAGTTTATGGATGCCCAATAAGCCAGAATGTTCTTAGTAGATATTTATAGAAGCATAAAGCCCATGGATCTAATGATTATTTTTTGCATTCCTAGTAAGTGACAACTCTAGGCTGGGTACTGGGTAATAATAATGAGCAAAGAGACAAGGATTTTGCCCTCACAAGCAATGAGAGGGAAGGAGAAAGAGAGAATTCAAAAGATAATTGCAAATTGTGATGAGAACTATTAAGGAAAAAGGGTGAAGAGAAAAGGAGAGAGGCTGTTGGGATAAGACATAGGTGATAAAAGCAGACTTTTCACAGAAAGCATCATGTAGGATGAATGAGAGGAACCAACCAAGGCCAGAGTGGAAAGAGCTTTCCAGGCAGAGGGAACAGGATGTATAAAAGCAGGTCAGGTTGTCTGCTGCTCAAAGAAGGAGGCGGGGGTCAGGGGAGATCATGCAGAGCCTGGTGACTCCTGGTGCCAACTTCAGTGTTTTTGCCATGTAAAGCCAAACACTTGATCAGTCTGGCTACTGGGCAGAGAATAGGTCAAGAGGGGCTACTGCAAAAGTGGGGCCAGTCCAGACATCAGCAAACATTAAAATTAATATGAGATGTGCTTAAGACCACTGACATGTACACTTAAAATTGGTACAATGGTAAATTTTATGTTATTAAAATGTGTATTTTACCATAACACGAATAATGAATATGGACAGCAAACAGATATTTCCTAAAGCTACATTGCCATGAATGTTGTTCCTTCTCATCTCAGACCAACAGGAGCTCCAGGGAGCAACGAGCAGTACAATGTGGGAATGGTGGGGACGCATGGGCTAGAGACCTCTCACGCAGACACTTTCAGTGGCAGTATTTCAAGAGAAGGAACCTTGATGATTAGAGAGGTAAGTTGGTATAAAACCTGTGTAGAGGAAATGCCATTTCTTAAGTGGTTTTTACATTAAAGCTTTCACAGAGAAAGTCTATGACATGTATTTTAAGTATGGGGAATTACTGGGGGAGGGAGGACCTGTGCTTCTAAATAGTTGAGTGATTTTAATTGTCTGCTGCCTTCTTTCCTGTATTCTTCTAAGCTTTGGCAGTGTGACTTAATTACATTAGTGCAAATTCTTCAGTAGGAAAGTAGGAGCTATGCAAATCAGAATATAGAATTTGGGCCTGAGGATATAAAATTGCAAACTCAGATGTTTCCTACAACAGGAAAACAGAAATGAATGATCTCTCTGAATAGCATCACTGGCCTTGTTATGTCTCTTCTGCCTATGGTTTTATCTTTGTGGATTTTGTATAAAAAATGCTCAATGGTTCTGAGAAATGATGATATCATCTTATCTAGTTAAATTAACATTAAAAGAACCATTAAGTTATTTTATTGAAAGAACAAAGAAATATGCAGATCTACTTTAAAAATGTACCTTGGCACTTTGGTTGAATTCTTTTTAAAACTCTAGGAACATCATTTCATTTTGGGGGTGGCACATGTTCCCTTTCATCTGTCCTGCTGACATGCAGTAACTCCCCACTGTGTCCATGCTAACCAGAAAGACCCTGACAAATTAAAATCAGTATTTTCTTCTTTTTCACTTCATCATCACCATGCAAGTTTGAGTGCAGATATTTACTTGAAAGGAAAGAAATGGCTGAGAACATTGGGCAAATGTTACCTGACCTCTCCCTGCATCCATCTATAAAATTTTATAAATAATAGCATACAACTTATAAGATGGTTGAGGATATTGAGTTAGTAAATTAAGCATTCAATAAATGTTAACCATTTTATTTTATTTCACTCTCTTCTCAGAAATGAATTCTCCTTTTACTTGTTATCACCATCCAGTCCTCCCTCTGAAACATAAACATATGTCATCTGTTTTTCCTCTTCAGCCAGGACAGAGTTGGGAAATTCTAATAGCAGACTTTGCTCTCCAGAAAGGCAAAGGGCATCTCACTTTTGTAAGAAAGAAAGGAACTGTAGTTTTGAGATGAATAAGGCCTTTGAAATAATAATTGTCAGTGGGGCTATAACTGAAAGACTAGTTCACAAAGCAACTTGCTAGAATTTCATTTTATGGCCTTGTTGAATCTTTCAAGTAGCCTTTAAAGGGTCCTTTCACATATGCCTGAAATGAAAAAATGGACTTGGCTGCTGAAATTGACACTGTGTAGTGCTGGTATATAAATCTCTTAATGTGGTTAATGGATAATTTCAATGGAAGTATAGAAGGTTTCTATCCCTATAACTTACCACTTAGGAAAACATGAGGGAGAATGTTCTGGAGTGAGTTGCTGTTTGACTCCTGATAAAAGGACGCTGATTTCTAATGTGGCTTAAAATTTGCTTGAGTCTTTACGACATGGTAAATAACTCCAAGTAGACATTTGGAGCCACATTTTCAGTTCATTGCCATCCACATCCAAATGGCTCCATGTTATTTATAGCACTCCAGTATTCTATGACCACAACCTGTCACTTTGAAAATAGCATTTGCAGCCGGGCACGGTGGCTCATGCCTGTAATACCAGCACTTTGGGAGGCTGAGGTGGGCGGACCACAAGGTCAGGAGATTGAGACCATCCTGGCTAACACAGTGAAACCCCATCTCTACTAAAAATACAAAAAATTAGCCAGGCGTGGTGGCAGGCGCCTGTAGTCCCAGCTACTCGGGAGGCTGAGGCAGGAGAATGGCGTGAACCCGGGAGGAGGAGGCTGCAGTGAGTGGAGATCATGCCACTGCACTCCAGCCTGGGCAACAGAGCGAGACTCTGTCTTAAAAAAAGAAAGAAAGAAAGAAAGAAAATAGCATTTGCCAGTGTCTTATAGGAATTTGATCTATTAAGGAACCCAAAATCTGTTTGTCCTCTCAATTTCCAATTCTGCCTTCCTCAAATGTGGGTTTTTTAAATAACAAGCTGTATTAGTTGCGGTTCTCCAGAGAAACAGAATATTTACATATATATATACAGAGAGAGAGAGACTGCTTTATCTTTTTATTTTATTTTATTTTATTTTTTTGGAGACAGAGTCTTGCTCTGTCCCCCAGGCTGGAGTACAGTGGTGCAATCTTGTCTCACTGCAACCTCCGCCTCCCGGGTTCAAGCAATTCCCCTGCCTCAGCCTCCCGAGTAGCTGGGACTACAGGCACATGCCCAGCTAAATTTTTGTATTTTAGTAGAGACGGGGTTTCACTGTGTTGCCCAGGCTGGTCTCAAACTCCTGAGCTCAGACAATCCGCCCCCCCTTGACCTCCCAAAATGCTGGGATTACAGGTGTGAGTCACCATGCCCAGCCGAGAGACTGCTTTATTGTGAGGATGTAGCCTATATGATATGGAGGCTGAGAAGTCCCATGATCTGCTGTCTGCAAGCTGGAGACCCAGGGAAGCTGTTGGTGTAAATCCCAGTTGGAAGCTGGGTGAAGATGAGATGAAATGTCCCACTTCAACCAGTGCAGAAGAAAAAGAGGGAGAAAATTCCTTCTTCTTCTGCCTTTTGTTTTGTTCAGGCCTCCAGCAGATTAGATGATGCCCGTCCAACTTGGAAAGGGCAATCTACTTCACTGAGTCCAGCAACTAAATGCGAACTGCATCCAGAAACACTTACAGATACACCAGAAAAAATGTTTAACCTAGGCACCCCCATGGCCTAGTCAAGTTGACACATAAAAGTAACCATCATCAAACCTTGAGCTGAAAATTACCAAAAATACATGTTTAAACAAGATAAATGCAGGTTAAAGTTTATCCCTGACAAAGTAAGAACATAAAATAAAAACTCATTGTAGGCCGGGCGCGGTGGCTCAAGCCTGTAATCCCAGCACTTTGGGAGGCCGAGACGGGCGGATCATGAGGTCAGGAGATCGAGACCATCCTGGGTAACACAGTGAAACCCCGTCTCTACTAAAAATACAAAAACTTAGCCGGGCGAGGTGGCAGGCGCCTATAGTCCCAGCTACTCGGGAGGCTGAGGCAGGAGAATGGCGTGAACCCGGGAGGCGGAGCTTGCAGTGAGCTGAGATCCGGCCACTGCACTCCAGCCTGGGTGACAGAGCGAGACTCCGTCTCAAAAAAAAAAAAAAAAAAAAACTCATTGTAATAAGATTTAGCTTATACGGTGCTATTAGTACATTTCTCCAGGATGAACTATAGGAGGACTCACTCAACTTGTCACTGTCATGGAGTGGACTAGATGGTTCTGTAAGAAGATACTGCTCTAACACTCATGATCTTGTCAGATGCACAAATTTCCCCTTGTAGTGCATACCCTTACCCCTGTGGTTCTACCTATCCCTATCCTAGAGCCCCACAGGACCACTTTTTACTCACTTCTAGAATATACCACACCAGCTGTGAGCTGCCATTTGTGAATGGAAGCTCATCTGCTGGAAGAGGTATTTTGCATTCTCCACTGCTGCCCACCCTTCACCAAGCAGGTCCCTGTTCTCAATCTTCCTTATTTCCTACAAGCCTCTACTGGGACTCCATGGACCTTCATCCACAGCACCTTCCTGGTATCAGCTGATATCTCTTCAGTGTTGATCCTCCTCACTGAACCAGAACACTAGCTTGTCATCATGAAGGCTCTTATGGTTACAAGTAATGAGTAAAAGAACCCACTTAATACAGAGTAAGCAAAAAAAAAAAAAAAATTAAGTGGGGAGAGGGTAGGTATCAGAAATAGAGGAGTACAGGAAGATTTAGGGTGTTTCATGGAAGGAACCCAAAGGTAAAAGTGAGCTGAGCCTCTTTGAAGGACTGGGACAGACAAGAGCTCAGGCAGCTTCTCATGTGCAGGTCTCTGGCTCTCTTGCTGCCTGTCTCTCCTTACCCTAATCTCTGCTTTCTTCCACTTTCTCCTTTGTTCTTTTCTCTCTTCATAGAGGGGCTTTCTCTCCCTCTGCGTGCTCCTGCTTTCACTTCTCCACTTCCTCCATTGAAAGATATTCACCACATCCCCGTTCAGCTGCCAGCAGAAACTGACCCATGTCTCTAGGGCTTAATATTGAATTCCAGTGGGAATCTGGTCCCTCTTGGCTCAGGCATCCACCCTTGATTCAATCAGCTGTGACCAGGAGTAGGCCCCTAATACAACAGTGCAGCCCAGAGCACCTGGGCTCTGCCACAGGACAGCTAGGTTCAAACCACTTAGAACCCTGTCACTCAGGGCAAGATAACTGATGGAATGTCATATATAAAGTGTTTAGCGCAGTACTTGGCATGTGTTGGTACATGGAACATCTTTGTGCCAATCCCCACAGGAATGGTGAGAGATAAAGATGAGATATTATTGAGGTTCTCTTAATGAGGTTCTTAAGGGTGTTGCACATCTGTCTTTGTGTTTCCAGTGCAGTACTTGGCACACAGAAAGTGTTTAATAAGGTGCTGGTGGAGTGAACAAAAAGGTGATGACTCAGAAGTGGGCGGATTCAGAGCATACTACAGGATTCCTTTAAGCTTCTCACCATCTGAGCCACTTCCCTTTGTTAGCCTCTCTGAGTCTTTCTTTGATAACCAGTGTGTCTGCATCAGTTTTTTGCTTGAGAAAGAGTGCTGCTGATACAAGAGAAGCCAAACATTTCTAAAGAGATGACATGTGGTTTATGCTAAAGAGAAGTTTGAGGAAAATGTTTAAAAGCTTTTCAGTATTTGAACAGAAGTTAAAGGAGAAACTGCCCAGTACACATAAAATAGCACACAATAAGATGTATTAGGACTGAACTTCCTAAATGTCATTTAGAAAAGGAAATGCTCAACTCTGAGAATAGGCACTAATACACGCTACTGATGGCCACTGTGACAAAATGAATCCAGAAAATAACCCTCTCCAGGACAGCCGTAGTCCAGGAGCAGGTTGCCAAGAAACATAGAGGACACTAGGCTTTCCAGTTATCTCTCAAACTTCCTGAAACATCAATTACATGCACCATTACAGGAGCTTGGGCGTCTGTTTCATCTAAACAGGAAAAAAAGAAAAAAAGAAGTGCCTCCTTTCACTTCCAGCCAGAGGCAGGTGCAGAGCTGTAATTGTAAATCCATGACAAGCTCCAGAAATAAAAAGCCAGACTGGTGAGATGGTCAAAGAAACAGCATGAAACCTTGCACATGCCAGCCCCCAAGAGGGTAGGGAATGTGCTTGCTTTGTTCCCAGCTGTTCCATGTTCAGTAGAATGCTTTACATTTAGTAGGAACTAAAAACTTTTGGGTCAATGAATGAATGAAAGAAAAGACAGAGAGGGAAATCATTACTTAATCAGATCTGCTCTAAGAATCCTCAGTGAGCCAGTTGCAGAAAAGTTAAAAAGTGCAACACTAGTCAGGCCTACAATGTGGGCACTGGCTTTTGGAAACCAGAGTTGTCTTTTAATCCTGCCTTTCCTCCCTGGGATTTTTTGGCAGAGACTGCTCTCCAGAGCAATGGCTTCCAAACTTGTTAGGTCATGTAATCCTATCAGTAAAACTATAGAGCATCTCACCTAATACAGTGTATTTATTCACAAATCATACATTTTTTTCTACTGCACTAACATTATGTACATTATAAAATACCTTTGGCCAGGCAAGGTGGTTCACACCTGTAATCCCAGCACTTTGGGAGGCCAAGGCGGGCAGATCACAAGGTCAGGAGTTCAATACCAGCCTGACCAACATGGTGAAACCCCATCTCTACTAAAAATACAAAAATTAGCCAGGCGTGGTGGCACGTGCCTGTAATCCCAGCTACTCAGGAGGCTGAGGCAGGAGAACTGCTTGAACCTGGGATGCAGAGGTTGCAGTGAGCCGAGATCATGCCACTGCACTCCGGCCTCGGTGACAGAGCGAGACTCCATCTCAAAAAAAAAAAAAACTTTAAAGGACATTAAAAAGGGTTACTAGAAGTGATGTTTCAAATGCTTTGCTAGTTATGATGACTTTATTTTGTTACTGCCTACATCACAAAGCACCATAGTTCTTTATTGAGACATTAAACATTTATGTAGATAGTAGTTGTAAATCCATATTTTCAAATAGTATTCTAGATCATGTCAATATATTTGGAACTCCTGTCAGATCTGATTAGTTAATCATTGTTTTGACCTTGTGAATGACAAAGAGCCCCGTGAGTTAAGTATGGTCTCTGCACTTTCTTGGAGTACTCCACACACACTGCTTCTTTTCAGCAACATTTTAGGTCATTTCTCTGTTGTGTGGGTTTGTTTCATTATAACCTGGTAATATGATCTGTAAATATAATTAAGTGGCAGGTACATACAGCACAAGCACTACAAAAGAGTTTACAAGTGTGGGCCCTGCTCAGTCCCTCCCTTTTGTAGCGTCTCCCCCTTTACATGGGACCCCATGCCATATGTGACCACTGTCTATACCTCATGCAGGAACGTAAGGCTTCAGGCTCAATTGATAAACCAAATATTGGCAAAGCTTACTTTCTTTTTTGTTTTCTTAAGTAAAATAGAAATTTGAATATCACCTTCTTGCACCCTAGCGGGTCTATTTGGAGCCCCATATGCCTATGCCGTGTAAGGGCTGATGTCACTCTTTGGCCTTTTTCCCCCCCTCTCTAACTCCTCTCACATGCTGTGCTCCCTCAGACGTCTGGAGAGAAGCGATCTGGCCACAGTGACAGCAATGGCTTTGCTGGCCACATCAACCTCCCTGACCTGGTGCAGCAGAGCCATTCTCCAGCTGGAACCCCAACTGAGGGACTGGGGCGCGTCTCAACCCATTCCCAGGAGATGGACTCTGGGACTGAAGTAGGTGCTGGGCAACAGCTGGCATGACAGTTCTGCTCTCCTTCCTGGGGTTCTAAAACCATGATCTCTTCAAGAATGAGGCTTCACCAAGCTCCTTGAAACTTGTTTGGTTGGTTTCTACTATAGAGCTGCCTGTGCAGGTACTCAAATGGAGAAATCATGGAAGCAGAACAGTGAAAAGTTCTCAGATATCATCTGAACCAATACTTGTTTCTCCAGATGAGTATACTAGGTTCATAGAGGGTTGAGTGACTTGTCCAAGACACACGGCTGGTTTATGACAGATCTAAGACCAGAACTGGAAACTTCAGGCTATACAGATTTCAAGGACAACAGTTGAGGTTTATATTTGCATTAATTTAGTCAAACTAAGTATGACTTAAATAAAACAGTTTAAATGATTTGTTTATGAAAAATAAAATTTAATAAATAGATAAGTTCTTAAAGTGTTCATCTTCATAAATTCAAAATTGTGTGAGAATGAAGAAACTAGGTATTACCTTTCCTGTATAGAAACAGTCCCAGGAAAAAGTCTGAATAAACACAATCTGCAGGTAGTGCCCATAGACGCTGATGACTGACACCAGTTGGATGAGTTCACAGTGTGTGGTCATGTTTCATTAATAGTCTTGTCAATCACACGTAAGGTCCTAAATGTGTTTATAAAGCACATGTACTGTTATTTTTGACATTGTCCACACACTAAGTTTTTATGATGCACCCTTTGAATTATAAAGTTATAGTGTAGATGAGCTTTGCATACCCCAAGGAAAAGAACACAGTGGTATATTGCAAAGCACAGCATCTTATTGTAACTTCATGCTGTGTGGGCATTTTCTGCCTGAACACCTCTCTTGGTGCAAAGGAGGACCCCATAAGATTGAACCCTAGTTCAAATTCTGCTGCTACCCCAGCTCTATGTGGAAATGTTACTGCCTGCCCTACCTCTTTCACAGACATCTTCTAAAGATCAAAAGTGAACATGTATGTGAAAGTGATCTATTTGGTAGGGGGAATTCTACCTTGAGGAGGATGAAATGGTTTTGGTTTCATAGGATGGAGAGAAAAATCTTGAATTAAATCAGATTAGATCTTTGTGGTTTTCTCCTTACATGTTTAGAGGTCTTGGATGGTGGTTTTATTTTTAAATAAAACTCTAAAAGTAAAACTAAAGTGAAACAACCTTTAGTTAAAGATATTTATCCAAAAAAGATGTGCTTATTATGTTGAATACAGATGTGTTTGTGATGTGAAAGGACAAGAAGGAATGGACATGACTGACATTGTAGCTTATTCAGCAAAACTCAGATTTAGAATATTGTGACATGAAACCCTGATATTGAGTTTACTGTTCCCTCGTTTACTTCTGACATCATGTTTTCATGGTGCCATTCAAGCCCAAGATTCCTTTTTTAAAGTAAGCCTTCAAGGTACATTGCTCACAAACCTAATATACTCATAAAGTCCCTAAATAATGATGTAAATGTAATTATTATTTTAAGGAAACTATCATGGGAATGAAATATCTTCAATTCCAGCATAAAATCATCCCTGAATTAATGATTTTAAAGCTTTTGGAGCCAACACCAATTCGCTTGCATCGCCAGGCCAGAGTAGAAGAGCTCAAAGCTCTCCTTCCCAAGAGAAAGTCCCTTGGGTTGACTCTGTGTTCAGGATAAAGTGCTGCTGTGGAGGCTTCCTTACTTAGTTTATTGCCAATTGTGTCAGCCTTTCATATTGATCATGTGGTCAATATAGGAGATTGCTTTTACTGAAAGGGAGAGGTAAGCTCTGTCACAACAGTGATCTTACAGACTTTAAGGTACCACATGTGGTCCAAAATGTAATTTTCTCACTGCAATTCTTGCAGTCTGATAATTAACGAAGTCCTACAAATGCACAATGGCTAGTGCATAACCAATACCGGAAGAAGCTAGAGACAGGCATGTACTAACTAGGGCGCTAGAATGTGAACACCTGAATACCCTGAAGAATCTGTGATCATTTTATAGCCCAAGCACAGTATTGTTAGCATTGTTTATTCCTGCAGTATTTATCTGCTCTTCTTAATCTTCTTGTTTATTGATTAGTATGGCATGGGGAGCAGCACCAAAGCCTCATTCACCCCTTTTGTGGACCCCAGAGTATACCAGACATCTCCCACTGATGAAGATGAAGAAGATGAAGAATCATCAGCCGCAGGTAAGCAAGAAGGGCTCAGTGTTTTAAAAACAGCTTTGTCTTCATTTCTGGTATGACCTGATAAGGAAATTAATCCTCAGTTCAGTAGTTAAGCCGATTACTGCTTAGGTCCTGTCTTAAAAGGAAGACTTTTAAAAATTATTATTTCTGTAGGACTCCTAAAACAAATTTATTACTTTCCATTTTTTTTTCCCATCTCTTCTATTTCATTTCTGGCAGACCCAGGGGGACATAGGGACCCTAGGAAAAGCTGTTCTTCAGTGATCTCTGAACATAACCAAATGTTTCCCCAAAACAATTTCTGGGTACAATGTTTTACACATATTAGGCACTTAATAAGTACATGGTACATTGTGTTGACTTCTAGGTGTGTGCGTCCCACCACAAAGATCTGGCTGATTTAAAGGAGAATCTTGCTTTCTAATCTTTTTCAAGTAATTGATCATCAAAGTCAGCTTAGGACAGTTTTTCAATTGATAATCTGGAATTTTAAAAAGTAGATCTTTTTTGCCCATATTACAAGAGTGGGGATGGTATATTTAATTTGGGACTTTCTAAACTCTGCAAGTAGTGTTTATAAGCCTATTTTGCCAATGAATAAAAGATTGCTTTGATGAATGAGTTATACTTTATTCTACTAAAACAAAAAAAAGTGTAAAATAAGGAGAGTTTCATAGTTTCCTTGCCTTAGTATAATTCAAACCAAACAAGGAGAAATCATAGTGTTTTGAAGCCCCATCCCCACATCTCCATAGGTTATCTTTTAAGATGCCACTGACTTCTCTGATTCTTTTTCTCAAAGCTCTGTTTACTAGCGAACTTCTTAGGCAAGAACAGGCCAAACTCAATGAAGCAAGAAAAATTTCCGTGGTAAACGTAAACCCAACCAACATTCGGCCTCACAGTGACACACCAGAAATCAGAAAATACAAGAAACGATTCAACTCAGAAATACTTTGTGCAGCTCTGTGGGGTACGTTGGTGCTTTTTTTAAAAAAAAAAAAAAAAAACCCACTCATTAATGAACTGACCCTCAAACATTAAAAGCCTGTGGATCTTGTCATCAAAAGAACACTGGTTGAATCATGGGTATTAGAGTCCTAACTTGGGACTATCTTGACCTCAGGAGAGACCAAAAGGAGTTTTATATGTTGAAATAGCTGATACCCTACTAGCCAGGATGACGAGATTAGATTCAGAGCAACCTTGTCACACAATAGTGATAGGCTAAAGCCAAGAAGAGAACTAGCTACCACTTAATACAATAAGTGGGCAAGGCAAAGTCTATAATCTGATCAGAGGTGATTTGTGTCTGGCACTTCGTGATATACCCCATGTTCATTCTCCGTGATCCATACCACATCCTGCAAGGGGAATACAAGCATAAATAATGGCATAAATTTTTATTTCAAGCTGAAAAATCAGCCCAGAGTATTTTGTGAATTATACAAGGTCATAACCCTAGCAATAACAAGATAAAACTTGAAAAGAACAACAACTAATTTAGTGAACCTTCCCTTTTAGTTTAAAGCATCAGTCTGCGTTTCTTGTGAAAAAGATCTGCAGGTTTTAGCGGACCTCGAACTCAGGAGAGGCATGATGAGATTCTATCAAAATCTTGGTTTGTGTTACTATAAACATCTCATACAGATTAAGGAAGGACATGTCCCCTATGTACCCATTGAAAATACTAGGGTTGGATTGGGGAACCATAATTTTAAAAGGCTGAAAGCATTTGAGATGTTAGTGGGGAAGAGTGTGAAGCCTAGGAACCATTTCATGATAGAGGCTCTGTCCTCTGGAGAAGAGACAGAAGAGAACAAGATAGCCACATTTAATACTGAAAGGATTAATATGTGGACAAAAAAGCAGACATTTGTGTTGATCAGAAGATAGAAGTACAAGAAGTAAGAGAAGTTAGAGAGTTACATGTTCATGAATAAAGTACAGTGCACAATGAGCCTCTCAATGTATGTGTGTTGAGGGGTGGATGATAAATTTCCCTAGCAATAAATTTTTAGGATTACAACTACCCAGACAAAACCACTTACCTGCCTGTACTTCTGTAATAGGGATTACTGCATGGGTGTTGGGCTGCACTAGATTTAGAGACCTGAGAAGTCCCTTAAAGTGAGTATGTCTGTGACTCCCCAGCTATTAACACTTCTCTTGAATGGGTTTATCATTTCCCTAAAAAAGAGCACAAACTTGAGGGCATAGGGCATAAGATAGTTACATTTTGGTTCAAGAAGGAGGAAGGGCCTTTCTTCCAATGGAGTATGGAAATGGAAATTGCACTGTATGTTGAAGGTGGGTAGGCTAGAGATCACTGCATAAGGGTGGGGTGAACCTTGGGGACGAAGAGAAGTAGATTTATAGGGAGATCCAAGAAAGAAGTGGTTTTTCTAGGAAGGGAATAAAGGCAAATTGTGCTAGCTTCACATCTGTGCCTAAGGCTCCTATTGACAAGGATTCTGTGCATTAGGCAGTAAATAATTAGATGTATGAATGCTGCTAACACTTTATAAAAGAAAACTGTAATTTCATTACCAGAAGTACAATGATTTAATTATTATGTCAGAACTTCTACACTCATTAGTTTATGTTTACCTACTTGCCCATTAGTGTATATTTACAAGTCACAGTTTCTTAGATTTTATAGGGACTCTTGATGCAGAAGATTAAAGTTCGTGAAAAGTCAGTCTTAGGGTGCTTCTTAAATTTACAGGTGTAAACCTTCTGGTGGGGACTGAAAATGGCCTGATGCTTTTGGACCGAAGTGGGCAAGGCAAAGTCTATAATCTGATCAACCGGAGGCGATTTCAGCAGATGGATGTGCTAGAGGGACTGAATGTCCTTGTGACAATTTCAGGTATGTTACTAAGATGATGAGTCCCCCAGGTCCATACAGCAGGAAAGGGGTCCACCTCATTTCTGCAGAAACAGTTAGCTCTGCCCTTCCCAGCTAACAAACAAGACAGTGAAGTATAGCAGTATAGCCAGAGTGAGGTTGCCCACATTTTTTAACACTGGGTATTCTGACCTCCAAAAAAAGGTCTCTCACCTCTGCATTAAATCTGAATTAGGCAGAGACACACCACAAAGGCTATATATTTATAGCTCTTTATCTCTGTCAGGACTCAGCAAGGATCTTCGGATGTTTTTAAGGTTTCTGCACTCCAGTTATCACCACATACAGACAGAATATCAAAATGCAGGCTTCCAAGAGGGACATTTAGTAAGCAGAAATTTCTCTGGTCTCTTCCCTTAAAAATTCGCTTGCTTATAGTCCACTGATGTTTTGGCAGGTGCAGCTGGCACACTGGATGATCAAGTCTACAAAAAGATTTGAGTGTGAGAATCATTACTGCTATGCTCTGTAGCTTTCTGATTCCCAAAAAGAGCCTTAAATAGGAAAAAAAAAAAAAAAAGATGGAGACTAAAGTGAAGGCCTTGTAACAAGTTAAAAATGCAACCTAAAAGAGGGCAGTTTTGTTGAAAGTTTTTCTTTTTTCTTTTTGGTGTTTGAAGGAATTTAACAAGTAACACCCGTCACTTCCCCTCCCATTCCATCTAGTATGGAACCAGCTTGCTACTGCACTTTATAACCACCTGGGGAAATGTGAAAATCCAGAGTCAGAATCTCTGGGGTGGGGTTTAGGCATCAGGAGCTTTCAAAGTTTCTGACGTGTTTCCATTGTGCAGCCAAGTTTGAGAACAAGGATTTATGCTCAGCCATTGTTTCATGAAGAGACAACACAGGGATACTGGTTTGAACTTTGAGGAAAGTTCAGCTGTACTTCCATTTTGACAAAATGCTTTTGCTTGTCACTAAACTTCCTCTTTCTTTTACCTTTCCACTGAATGCTCAGTTTCATCTCTTTTTATTCTCCCCAAATAAGGTTAACCAGGTAAATTCCTTTTGTATTACCATTTGAGTTTAATCCCATGTAGTCTTCTGTTCTGGTTCATTGCTTTCCTGATTGCTATACTACCAAATCAAAATTAAAACTGCATATCTGCCAGTCACCTACTAAAAGTGGAAATGCAACCAGAAAATTCACATTCAGGCTTCATTATGTTGTTAGTGGCACATCTTCATTCTTTTTTTTTTTTTTTTTTGAGACAGAGTCTCGCTCTGCCGCCCAGGCTGGAGTGCAGTGGCGTGATCTTGGCTCACTGCAAGCTCCGCCTCCCGGGTTCACGCCATTCTCCTGCCTCAGCCTCCCGAGTAGCTGGGACTACAGGCGCCCGCCACCTCGCCCAGCTAGTTTTTTCGTATTTTTTAGTAGAGACGGGGTTTCACTGTGTCAGCCAGGATGGTCTCGATCTCCTGACCTCGTGATCCGCCCGTCTCGGCCTCCCAAAGTGCTGGGATTACAGGCTTGAGCCACCGCGCCCGGCCCACATCTTCATTCTTAACAGTATAAGCATTTCCTTTTCTCATGAGGCACAGATAGGGAAAGTAGAAAATGAAAATAGGAGCAAAAGATTCTTGAACTAACATTGGATTCATATTGGCATAGAAAGGAAGAAACACTGGCTCTTGTGTCCATCCTAGCTACTGTGATCAATGTGGATTCTAGGCCTTTGGTTACAAAATTGAATATTGACCACACCATGATTCCCTTAGTTTAGGTGATGAATGCGCTCTCCTGTCAAATGCATGTGCAATGCTTTACTAAGTTCTCTTCTGCTGGTATATATTCATCTATAAAATATAAAACATTTTTTTGGGAGAGGCCAAGGCGGGCGGACCTCATTTGAGGTCAGGAATTCCAGACCAGCCTGGCCAACATGGTGGAACCCCATCTCTACTAAAAATACAAAAATTAGCTGGGCATGCTGTGGGGACACCTGTAATCCTAGCTATTTGGGAGGCTGAGGCAGGAGAATCACTTGAACCCGGGAGGCAGAGGTTGCAGTGAGCCGAGATCACGCCACTGGACTCCGGCCCTGGTGACAAATGTGAAACTCTTGTCTCAAAAAAAAATAAATAAAACATTTTTAAAGCCTAAGATAAAGAAAAATAAGTATCCAAAAAACAAAACCATAGATCTAAATTTATCATTAGTCAGCAAGAGTCATCCCAATGGACATTTTATCTGGTGCAAATAATCTAATGGAGTATATCAAGTTTTGCTACTTGTGTACTCTTCAGTATTGTCTAGATATTTTTTTATCATCCTATGAATTTTTTATTCCAAGATCACTTTACCAAAGGGAACTTTAAGTTTTCAAGTTCACATTCTTTTTTTCCTTTTCTATTTTTGTTCAGTATTCCTTTCAGTGACTTCAGCACCATAAACTTGTCCAGTATAATTTCAGAACCCATATTATCCTCTTGTTTGCTTTTAAAATAACTTTGTTAGTTAAGTGAAACAAAACTACTACCAGTTGTCATCTTTAGTAGAAGAGGCAAATAAGAGGGTCTTCATTAACATCTGTTACTAGGTTATACAGTGAAGGAAAGTCAGGTGCCAAAATGCCCAGTTGTCAATACTTCTTCATGTGATTGATCTAGAATGTTCTGGAACTCTGATCAACCACTGTTGGAAGAGTTAACTCTTACTAAGTTCAGCAGACACTGCTTTGCATTGGGAAGAGAGAATAAGAGCAGCATGCTTAAGTAAGAAACCACCTGAAGATAAAGACATTATAATTTTGTGATGTGTCTAAAATACTTAGAGCTACTTTAACCATAAGTTCTGGCAGAAACACCACTTTAATGACAAAGTGCTGGAGACACTGATTATTAGGCCTTCAAACACACACACACACACACACACACACACACACACACACACACACACACACATAAAAATAAAAGGAGGTGGGGAAGGAAAGAGTGAGAGCTATCAGCGATTTGAAATTAAACCTCTATTATTTCAACAGGAAAGAAGAATAAGCTACGAGTTTACTATCTTTCATGGTTAAGAAACAGAATACTACATAATGACCCAGAAGTAGAAAAGAAACAAGGATGGATCACTGTTGGGGACTTGGAAGGCTGTATACATTATAAAGTTGGTAAGTCTCAAGACATGGAATTGTAAGTTTTGTCTGTTTACTCAATCAGACATATTCAGTTAGGTTTCACTTAGTCTTTTCTATCAGATTGATGATGCATGTGTGACCAGCCTCAGATGTTGCTGGAACCTTCAGCATTATTTTTTAAAAGCCAGATTGATGAAATTGAAAGAGTGCATTCAGAATGAAGTCCTAGGCTTCAGTTTGAATATTTATATCTACTTTCTTCCAAAGACTCATTAAAATGACAAGAATAAAAATGCCATAAGGCTATGAGGACAGTGGGACCAAGAGAAGAGAATTTCTCAGTGAATTTGAAAGAGTAGCTGAGTGACTGGAAAAAGACCTAGAATACCAGGAAATTCTGAATTCTGAAGCTGCAGTGAGGAAAATGATCAAAATCAATCCAACAGAACCCGGAGAGGCCCAGGAACTAAGGCCCCAGGGGAATCTGCGGTGGAAGTGGAGGTGTAAGGTGGGACTGAAAATAGAATTGTTAGAAAATTCATGAGCAGCAAGTCTTCTAGAACCCAGTCTCCACCTCTGAGCAGTTAGGCCACTACCTTCTTCTGCTGTAACAGAAGATGAAAGGTTTGCACGGCCAATCTGATGCTGGGAATGCCTGTGTAAATACACACACATACACATCCCTCTAGCCCCTATTTAGCTCCCAAATAGCTATGCCTACACCCCCAAGGAAGAGAATGAAAGAAGTGTCTTGGAGAAAGTAAATGGCCAGAAAGAAAGATGTACAGGTACTAACATTTGAAATGCCATGAAAAAAGCTTGCTGCCTAACTACCCTGAAGTGAAGCCCAGCAGTTGATAAGCCCGTCTATACCAAGGAGTGGAGAAATTCACAAATACGAAGGAAACCTAAACAAACAGAAAGAAAGGACATTAGAAGAAACAGGGATAATGAGGAGTGGAAGAAAATGTAAAAAGAAAGAAAGGAAGGAAGCAAGAAACTATAATAGCTTTACAGAGATTAGAAAACTTCTTTCTATAAAACAAGAAAAGGGCTGTTAAAAAAAAAAAAAAGTAGAGCAAAGTAGGGGGGAGTCATTTAGAGACCAAGAAAAAATTAAACTAAAAGGTATCAGCAGAAATAAAAAATGTAATAAAAGTGTTAGAAGATAAGAAATTCTCCTAAAGAGTAGAATAAAAAGCAAAGCAGAGAAAATATAAGAAATAAAAAGATCAATCCAAGTGGTTCAAAATCTAAGTAATGTGAGTTTTAGAAAATAAGAAATGAAAGGAGAGGAAAGTATTGAAGAAAGAATACAAGAAAGGTATCTAGAACTAAAAGCCTTGAAATCCCATATTAAAAGGATTTCCTGAGTGTCCAGGATACTGAATGAAAGACAGACTCACAAAAAGATATATCAACATGATATTTCAATACCTGGGAAATGAGAAGGTCCTCAAAACTGGCAAAGCTGTCATAATATAAGTAAATAAATAACAAACAGTTTACATACAATAGACCCAGAATAAGAGTGGCCTGGGACATCTCAGCAGCAATATAGAAGCTTAAAAGACAACACAGCAAGGCCTTCCAAATTGCCGATAAAATCATTTCCAACCGGTATTTTATAGCCCTCCTGTGTTAAGAGTTAAGGAGATACATATATGTGTGAGTGTGTATGTATGTATATGTGTATATACATGTACATATACATAGAGAGAGATTATAAGGAATTGTTTCACATGACTATACTATAGAGGCTGAAAAGTCTCAAGATTTTCAGTCAGCAAGCTGATTCAAACCCAAGAGAGCCAAGGGTCTAAGTCCAGTTCAAATCTGAAGGCCTGAGAACCAGAAGAGCTGATGGTGTTCCACTATGAGCACTGGCAGGCTCAGGACCCAAGAAATGCTGATGCTTCAGTCCAAGTCTGAAGGCCAGAGAAGACTGATGTCCTAGCTCAACCAAGCAGGAAGACTCAGCCTTTTTGTTCTAGTCTGGTCTCCAAATGATTGCCTAAGGCTCACCCACATTGGGGAGGGCAGTCTACTTTATGAATTCTACTGATTCAAATGTTATTCTCATCCAGAAATACCCTCACAGACACACCCAAAATAATGTTTGACCAAATATCTGGGCACCCTGTGGCCCGGTCAAATTGACATGAAATTAACCATCAGACCATCAAGACATCAGTCAATTTTGAGTGCAAAAGAAAGACATTTTCAGTCATGCAGTTCTCAGAAATTTATATTTCATGCACCGTTTCTCAGGAAGCAAATGGAGGATGTGTTCCACCAAAATAAATAACTAAACCTAGTAGTCCAGGAAGATGAAGAAAATACCCAGAATGATGGTGAAGGGAACCTGGGGTGACAAGTCTGCCACAGGCCTGGAAAGAAATAAGTCCTGGCAGAGTGCGACAATGCAGGGTTCCAGGAAAGATGCCTCCAAGAAAAATAAAATGGTATAAATAGATGACCTACTGCGTTTGACCATGTTGAAGGGCATTTATTAGCAGAAAGTTTACATGTGCTTAGAGACAGATACATAGAAAACAAGGAAGTAAAAAAAAAAAAAAAATAAGGGGAAACAAGAAAGGAAATGTAACCATGGTATACTACATACCTCAGTTGTGAATAATAATAATTTTAACACTTAATATTGATTTAACCAAAAATTTAAAACATAGCTATACTTAGAGTTTACAGGAGTAAATTGTGTGTACATATGTATAAGAAAGAAAGAGAAGAAGTTAGAGAGAGAAGGAAATGATACAAGAAATTAAATCCTTTCCATACTACGAAGTCAGTAAATAATGTCTGTGACTGAAAAAAAAATCAGGAAATAACATTATAATCATGTTGTTTGGAAATCTGGAAACAAATTGCTGAAAAAGTAGTTGTAAGAGTTGCAAGTCGTTGTTTTTAGGGAGCAGGAATCAGCAGGGAGGCAGGGACTTGGTTTTCATAAGCCCTGTAGAATTATTTGGCTTTTTAAAATAGGTACCTGTAAGACTTGTTCAATCCATAGCTGACAAAAATAAGAAAATGTGTGGAGGCTTTTGAAATGTGTACTAGATAAAATACATTAATTATTTAACATAAAGAATGACAATAAAGGCGCGGCGGAGGAACTTTAGACACCTTCAGTTCAAAGGAGTCCATGATGTGGTCTCAGAAAAGAATGAGACACATTTGAAATTTTAACCAGTCAAGTGGGTTCAATCATGTGTGATGACATAATGTTGGTTGAAATCTAATCTAAAGTGTATTAAATGCAGAATGTGGAAACAGAAGGGGCATGCTATAAAGAAGAGCTCAGAAAGCAAGAACTTCCGTGTGTCATATTCTGCCAACTAGAAAGGGGACTCTATTTGAAGCAGAGTCTCCACCTGCCTTTTCTCTAATTTCATTCCAGGCGACCTTCCCAGATAACCTTGACACAGTACTAGGAAGTGTTGGGGCTGGCTAGTGAACTTGAAGGTTTGCTGCCTGAGAAGGACATGTTCCTCACTTCATAACATGCCATTCACAGTTTTACAAAGGAAAAAAAAGCCCCTGACGTTACAACACAGATTGTATTGATAAGTATAAAAGCAGCCTTTGGGTGGGGCACTGTGGCTCACACCTGCAATCCCAGCACTTTGGGAGGCCGAAGCAGGTGGATCATGAGGTCAGGTATTCGAGACCAGCCTGGCCCACATAGTGAAATCCTGCCTCTACCTAAAAATACAAAAAGTTAGCCAGGCATGGTGGCGGGCACTTGTAATCCCAGCTACTCGGGAGGCTGAGGCAGGAGAATCACTTGAACCTGGGAGGTGGAGGTTGCAGTGAGCCAAGATGGCGCCACTGCACTCTAGCCTGGGCAACAGTGCGAGACTCCATCGCAAAGAAAAAAAAAGCAGCTTTTGGAAAAAAATAAACATTTAATGTCTGTAAACGTATGTGGCCACAGCCACATCTACATCTCGCCAGCACTTAGCACACAGCCAGGCCCAGGGAAATCAGTTAAGAAGTATTTGTTTTAAAGAAAGGAATGGATGTTCAAAGGACACAGCATTATTCACAAAGCAGACCACATGTGGAAATATTTTTCTGTAGCAGGCTGGGCGGCAGTGCAAGCTATTTGCTCCACTGTACATTTTTGTTCAGGAATCAGAATTATTTGGTACTTTCTAATAGGATATCCTGGAATTCTAATCTTTTCTTATCCTCAATCTGATAATTTGGCAAAGTATAAAACATACATCCCATCATTCTCACACCAAGTAGAATTCAGATTCATATGCATATTTGGTTTTCTTTTGAAAGTAGTGAGCTTCTTTCTTTGAGATCAGGTCATATTTTCAGGGAAAAGCAATAGAAACCATTTCAAAGCTGTTTCCTTTTGAGTATTTTGCCTTTATTACTTGGCATTTGTTAGTCCAAAAATTTCTAGTGATCACATTTTGTGTCCATAAACTAATACTGTATGATTACAGAGCAATAAAATTCATTGCAGGAAATAATGTAAAATTTCTGAATATTATCTCTTGCATATACCTGACAAGTGTTTTTCAAAAACATCAGGCTACAGGAATCCTATTTGACCTGCACATCTGCTGTTGGCCCTTCTAACATTGTTGATGTCTTCTTTCTAATCATTGCCGTCCTAACATTAGTAGGCTGATCTATATCCACACATCTAAAGTGAAATTTAACCAGGGAGCAATATCTGGTAATTCTCTATAAGAAAACTTGAGACCAGCTTAATTTTCAGAAACACTGTTTGCCTTAGTTATCCAAAGAACCACTTGCAGTTTCCACTTTGCTTCCCCTGTGAAATTCCAGCCACAACAGCACTGACATCTTCTTGTAGCACGTGATTATTCTACTATGTTCAAATTATTGTGAAATTTTAAAAATACAAAATGAGAATAAAAAAGAAAAGTAAATTGTATATCCAAGAGCCATTTAAAATATTTCTTGATTTATCTGAGCCTATATGTGCTTAGATAAGTTTTTATTTTCAAGATGATTTTAAATTTCTTTAAAAATATGAACCTATTTATTTCTTCTTTCACCCTGAAAATAAGCAAAATCTGAAGGGATTTTTTTTCTTTTCTTTTTAAAATGTATTTTAGATCCAGGGGGTACATATGCAGGTTTGTTTCATGGGTAGTTTGCATAATGGTGAGGCTCAGGCTTCCAGTGAACTCATCATCCAAATTGCGAACATTATACCCAACAGGTAAATTTTCAGCCCTTAACCTGCCACTCCCCTTTTAAGAGTCCTCAGTGTCTATTATTTCCAGCTTTGTTTCCACGTGCACCCCATTTTTAGCTCCCACTTATAAGTGAGAACATGTGTTATTTGACTTTCTGTTTCTGGGTTATTTTACTCTAGGAGATTGGCCTAGCTCCATCCATGTTGCTGCCAAGGGCACAATTTCATTTTTTTTATGGCTGCGTAGTATTCCATGCTGTATATATAACACAGTTTCTTTATCTAATCAAACATTAACGGACAACTTAGATTGATACCATGACCTTGCTGTTGTGAACAGTGCTGCAATAAACATACAAATGCAGGTGCCCTTTTGATTAAAAAAAAAAAAAGAAAAGAAAAAGTTATTTTCCTTTAGGATTTACCCAGAAGTGGAGCTGCTAGGTAGAATGGTAGTTCTATTTTTAGTTCTTTGAGAAATTTCCATACTGTTTCCCAAAGAGATTGAACTAACTTACATTCCTACCAACAGTGTATAAGCATTCCCTTCTCTCTGCAGCCTCACCACCATCTGTTACTTTTTCTGACCTTTTAGTAATAGCCATTCTGACTGGTGTGAGTTGGTATCTCATTGTGGTTTTGATTTGCATTTCTCTGATGTTTAGTGATATTGAGCATTTGTTCATCTGTTGGTTGACTGCCTCTTTTGAGAAATGTGTGTTCATGTCCTTTGCCCACTTTTTAATAGGATTGATTTTTTCTTGTTGAATTGTTTGCATTCCTTGTAGAATCTGTTGGATGTATAGTTTGCAAATATTTTCTCCCATCATGTAGGCTGTCTGCTTACTCTGTTGATTGTTTATTTTGCCACGCAGGAGCTCATTAGCTTAATTAAGTCCCATTTGTCTGTTTTTGTTTTTGTTGCATTTGCTTTTGAGGTGTTAGTCATAAACATGTTGCCTAGGCCAATATCCAGAAGAGTTTTTCCTAGATTTTCTTATTATAGTTTTGGGTACATTTAAGTCTTTAATCCATTGTGCATTCATTTTTGTATATGGTAAGGGATAAAGTTCTAGTTTCATTCTTCTGCATATGGCTAGCCAACTTTCCCAGGGTGTCCTTTCCTCATTGTTTATGTTTGTTGACTTTGTCGAACATCAGTTTGTTGTAGGTATGTGGCTTTATTTCTGGGTTCTCTATTCTGTTCCATTGATCTATATGTCTATTTTTGTATCAGTGCCATGCTTCTTTGGTTATTACAGTCTTACAGTATAGTTTGATGTCAGGTAATGTGATGCCTCCAACTTTGTTCTTTTAGCTTAGGATTGCTTTGGCAATTTGGGCTCCTTTTTGGTTCCATATGAATTTTAGAATTGTCTTTTCTAATTCTGTAAAAAATGACATTGGCAATTTGTAGACTGCTTTTGGCAGTATAGTCACTTTAACAGTATTGATTCTTGTTATCCATGAGCATGGGATGTTTTTCCATTCATTTGTGTCATCTATGGTTCCCTCATCAGTGCTTTGTAGTTCTCCTTGTAGGGGTCTTTCACCTCCTTGGTTAAATGTATTATCCTAGGGGTGTGTGTGAGGTGTGTGTGTGTGTGTGTGTGTTATTATAAATGGGATTGAACTCTTGATTTGATTCTCGGCTTGAGCATTATTGATGTAACTGATTTTTGTGCATTAATTTTGTATCCTGAAACTTTACTGAACTTATCGGCTCCAGGAGTCTTTTGGAGGAATATTTAGGGTTTTCTAGGCATAAGATCCTGTCATCAGCAGAGATAATTTCACTTCCTCTTTTCCAGTTTGGATGCTTTTTGTTTTTTTCTCTTGCCTGACAGTTCTGGCTGGGACTTCCAATACTATAGGAGTGGTAAGAGTGGAAATTCTTGTCTTGTTCCAGTTCTTAGGGGGAATGCTCTTAGCTTTTTCCCATTCAGTATGATGTTGGCTGTGGGTTTGTCATACATAGCTCTTATTATTTTGAAATATGTTCCTTCAATGCCAACTGCTATGGATCTTTTCCTAGGGTTCAGGTGAAGAGATGAGCAAAAATAGTCTAATAAACACTTTATGTCATGAAAAGTTATAAAGCAAATAACTGGAAACTTAATGTCATTTAAGTATATTAAAATTTTTCCTACCTAGTTTCTTTAGGACTCAGAATATTCTGTCTGTTGAGATATTTTACAAAGAAATTGATTGCCATGTGTACCAATTGTGGATTACGAATTCTCTAAGAATTAGAATCCACACTTAATAGCAAAGATTCAGAAGGCGCTTAAAGGATTGTTCAATCTCTCAAGGTCATCACTGTAAATATTGCTTATTATATCAGAGACACACACACACAGGTAAGAGTAATGAAGAGAATGCCAGACAACAGTCCGTTCTTCCATTCATCCATTCAGTAAGCATTTACTGAGTACTACTTTGTGGAGGCAAAAGCATGTGGAGACTCAATCATTGAACTAAGTTTCTGTCCATAGAATTTACAATGCTTAATATTCCATCTGTCTAAAGAGTAAAAGGATTTGTCAGTATTCGGAGCCCTTTAAGTCATTAACAGAACCCAAGGCTCCTAACACCCCCTTTCATTAGAAGCATAAACAAGCAATTATTTCACTTAGTAACTGGAATTCAAATATAAATAATAAGCAAATGGCAGCCTTTATGTCTGCCCATTTTCTGATTTTTCTACCATCTTGCCATATCTGCTGTCAGCTACTTATGTGTGGGTGAATGTAAATGCCAGGCAAGCTAACATGAAGGAAATTATGCATTCTTATTACAATGAATATCAACATCTAGACCTAGTGTTAAAGACAGTCCTAAGCAGTTATATCTCTGGATGATGAAGAGAGTCTTCAATATAAAGCAAAGGCCATAAGTGTTCTGCCAACCAAAGTTCGCTAAGGGAAGCTAAATCAGTATCTATGACAAAAAAATCCCACACCAGGAACATCACCTTCATGAAGCTGACACCCAAAATCAATATTTAAATTTACATATTGTTGCTTATACATTCATTATTAATACAAAGAACTTGAATAACCTGATGTACTTCTTAACTCATAATTTTTCTATTACAGTTAAATATGAAAGGATCAAATTTTTGGTGATTGCCTTAAAGAATGCTGTGGAAATATATGCTTGGGCTCCTAAACCATATCATAAATTCATGGCATTTAAGGTAAGCAGGCATGTGATTATCTAAAAATGTGCTTTTTAAAAATTTTCAGTTTCTACCCATTAATAAAATAGTCCATATAGACCAATACCAATTTTCATATAGATAATAAGTGTAGGTACTCTTGGTTTTATTGTTTCAAAAGTAAAGACTAAGTTAAACTTAGTCTCTAAATCTTTTAATCCTCATAAATTTTTCTGGATGAAGTCCCTAAAATGCAGGTGATGCTTATATGTCCCCAGTGCTAACTTATGGAAATGACCTAGTTTCTCTGCATTCTTCTATTTTGATTGTTTTCATTTTTTACCTTGTCTAAGTTTGTACCCACCATGGTTGGATTGGTCACTCATGAGATTTGCCAGGAGTGGGATGGGGATATGCTAGTCCTGTTGACCCCAGCTCATGAAGCTGACACCCGAATACCAGGAGGACCAGTACTTACAGGCACCCAGATGTGTTCAGAGCCGCATAACCTATCCATAGCCCAAGTAAACTTACCTTCTGCTTTCTCTCACACTCCCTGTCTCTCTCAGCTTATGTCTGTCTACTTCTTTGTGTCTCATTGGCTGTTACTTTTTCTCCCCACCTTTATGACTGTTATCTCCCTTTGGTTCCTTATTCATTCTTTTCTGCCACATTCACCATGGAGGGCAAAACCTTAGAACACTATGTAGGCCCACTTCAGAGCTGAATCACTTCTACCTTGTTCCCTAGTGCAAATGGCTTATTTGTGATGTGCTCAGGAAAATAGATTCATTAATGGAAATGGGCTCCCCTCCATAACCTCACTTTTATGGAAAAAAAAAATTGGAATGCACTAGGTTACTAATAACAATTAAGGGATAACTCCTAAAAGCCAAAGTGTCCTGTTCTGCCAAAATCTGTCTCCACAAAAGCTTTTCAATCAACATCCCATTCCCATTCTTGCTCTGAAGTTACTGCCATCATTTTATGACCCAGAGCACATGAGAGAGTGCAAAATGTTCTTTCTGACAGACCAGATCCAGCCCAGAGAGAGGGAAAAGCAAAGGCAAAGACTTGAACAGGGAAGAGTGGAACTGGCAAGAGGCAAAGCCTTCCCATAGGACAAGGACAGGAGGCTTGAGCTTCCTGTGCTGTCAGAATGGTGTTAGCAAAAGATGAGAAGAGAAGGGTCTGAGAGGTAGCAGTGGCATTATAGCTAAGGCAATCATAGTTTCACAAATGCTCTCCCAGATCTCAAGGCCCAAAGGTAGAGTGTGGTTAAAAAATAGCAAAGGAAAATGGCAGAGGAACACTTGACAGTTAGGTGGGGCTTGGGCTCTGGATTCAAACACAGAGAACTTTCACAAACTTGACAAGACCTCTCTTTTTGCTTTCTAGTTAAACCCAAATAGTCAATGCAAGCCATCAATCTTGTGATGTTCCACTCTCACCTCTTTCTCTACCACCCAAACCCAAGTCTCAGATTCCAACATTAAGAGAAAGTGCCAATCTTATGCCCACTCATTCGCTGAAGAAATTCCAAACCAGAGCATGCCCATTAACACTGAACAGGCTGAGAAAACAGCCGGCCTTGGCTGTCCCTCCCAGGCTGTCTTTGAAAGGGTAATTGCTATGGATGGGCCTCACTGCCACATGGGAAAGAGAGGGGCCAGAGAGGTAACTGGGCCTTCTTCCGAGGACAAAGGCCAGAAATAAACAGGAAAAAACAGCAGCACCCAGGCACCAGGTCTTTAATATACATTACCACTATCAAAATTACACCTGTGCACCAGCTTAAACTTCATTGACCTGGAGGACAAAGGGTAGGGAAAGGGGCAAAAATGGATGCTAGACCCTTCCTCCTAGAGCCAGAATATCAACAGACCTAAAACTGAAAGAGAAATTTTCTAGCTTTTCACTTTAATAAAGTTAGGAGTTAACTTCCTCTAGACAGTGGCTAAAGGAAAAAAATTATTAAGATACCTCTTTGAGTGATGCGGATACTGATGGGGTGATTTTTAAAGTCTTTTGCAGATCTCCAGCACAAGCCTCTGCTAGTTGATCTCACGGTAGAAGAAGGTCAAAGATTAAAGGTTATTTTTGGTTCACACACTGGTTTCCATGTAATTGATGTTGATTCAGGAAACTCTTATGATATCTACATACCATCTCATGTAAGTACCCAGAAGTAGACTTCCAAGGGCTCTGTGTACAACAGCCTGCATGTAGAAAGAGATTTGTTTTGCACAGTTTTAGTAGAAGTCATGCAAACTTTACTAACCAGCAGACGGACTTTCGTTCTTCATTAAGTATACTGCTTTTAATAACTAAAATACATAAATTTAATTTACATGACTTCCTAAAACTGGAGAATACATAATAGAGATCATTTGGCATTTACATGTTGTCTCTTTGGACTTTAGATTAAAATGAATATGATATTTTTCTTTCAAGAGCATGAATTATATTCGGTAGACGAGTTTCCACATTCAGTTTTTGAAGGGAAATTGGTTCATTTTATGTTAGAGAAAGCCAATGGTCGGGTACTAATTTATTGGAGAAAATTCTTTTTTTTTGCTATCTTTAGTTCCTTACTTCAGCTTGAGGGCAGCGTGGTATAGTGGAGTCAGACACAGGGGCACTCATACTCTGGCTCTAGCATGTATTAGCTTTGCAATAATGGACACAGTAGGCAGCCTCTCCAATCCTCAGCTTTCACATCTGTAAAATATGATAAAAAGACTTATCCCATAGGATTATCATTAGTATTAAATGAGGTAATGGATCTAAAGCAGTTGGTACAGGGTCCTGCAAATTATATATCTTACTAGCCCTAAAATATTCATATTACTATCCTGACATATTGCTTGAAACATAACTGTTAAAGGGAAATGCTGCACATGGATTCACTTATTAGGATCAGTGTAGTGTAAATTGTGTGTCCTGTGTGTAATTCCAAGGCTAACATACAGGAGAAACTATCAGGAATGTTTGAAGCTACTGCTGACTGGTATTTTGAGAATTTGAGGACTTTATTCTAATGAAATGCAATAACTAAAAGAAGTTGTTTTAGTATATTACATACACACACACGATTGCCATTCATTGCTGCATTATTACAGCTTTTAACTCATGTGTATGTGGGTGAACACAAGGATTCACAGCTCACATTCCTGGTGAGGCAGCTAAGGCATAACTATGATGATCCTCAACTCTCTTATTCCAATCCATCAAGCACATGTTGGTCAGCCATGGCATTCGCAACTACGGGGATCACAATATCACATTTCCTTTCCTAGAACAAATTAATATACACTGATTTCAGTAGTGATTTTTTTTTTTTTATTTTTTGAGACAGAGTCTCGCTCTGTCACCCAGGCTGGAGTGCAGTGGCGTGCCTTGGCTCACTGCAAGCTGTGCCTCCTGGGTTCACACCATTCTCCTGCCTCAGCCTCCCAAGTAGCTGGGACTATAGGCACCTGCCACCACGCCTGGCTTATTTTTTGTATTTTTAGTAGAGATGGGGTTTCACTGTGTTAGCCAGGATGGTCTCGATCTCCTGACGTCGTGATCTACCCATCTTGGCCTCCCAAAGTGCTGGGATTACAGGCATGAGCCACTGTGCGCAGCAATAGTGATTTTTTTAAATGACTGGTAATTCTAAATATTTTTTCTAACCAAGCCATGAATTATTCTGCCATTTGGACACCCAGATAAACAATCCTATTTTTTTTTTCACAGATTATTTTGATAGGAGTTCATTTGACCCCACTTAAGCCATCTCCATTAGATTCAGCTGGCTTACATTCTCCTCATCTTTTTTTGGAAGTAGTTGTGCTAATAGAAAACACATTAATTTCAACGTCAGCAAGATGTACACAAATCCCAACTCTACTAACAAATACTAGCACAGCTTTGGTCAAGACACAAAGCCCTTCTGAGATGCAGTTTCCTCATCTGTAAAAAAGCTATCTACGTTGGGGAGCTATTCTGGGTGCTAGAAATTATATATGTAAAGGGTCCCATGATTGGCACATAGTAGGTGTGTCATAGATTTACATGCTGTTTTTAGGAACAGATAAATTGAATTTTTAATCTAGTGACTAAGTTTGATTTGCCAGGGTATTTTACAAGTCAGTGGTTAAATTAAAGCAAATTTCAGTCTTTAGGGTGACAATGAAAATAAACAAAAACCTCTTTTTTGCAGTTCTTAGAGATGAATAGTCAAAGTGTTGTTTTATTTTTTAAAAGAATAATGCTTGGCCTTTCTTTGTCTTCTAGATTCAGGGCAATATCACTCCTCATGCTATTGTCATCTTGCCTAAAACAGATGGAATGGAAATGCTTGTTTGCTATGAGGATGAGGGGGTGTATGTAAACACCTATGGCCGGATAACTAAGGATGTGGTGCTCCAATGGGGAGAAATGCCCACGTCTGTGGGTAGGTTAACCATTCCTTATCTCCTTCAGCAGTTACACCCCCCAAATGAAACGAAAACCAAGAAATGTGAAACAACCATTTGATTCCACACCAAAAAAAAAAAAAAAAACAAAAAACAGTCTGTGAATAACTCTTGTAAGACTTGCTTTGTCCATTTATCTCAAGTCGTTTGTCATTTTTGTGGTTAAGATGTGAACAGATGCTGTGAGTTATTGCCCATCTAATGTTTTTAATGCAGTTTTGGAAATTCCTTTTGACAGCCTACATTCATTCCAATCAGATAATGGGCTGGGGCGAGAAAGCTATTGAGATCCGGTCAGTGGAAACAGGACATTTGGATGGAGTATTTATGCATAAGCGAGCTCAAAGGTTAAAGTTTCTATGTGAAAGAAATGATAAGGTAAATCCGTTTCAACATTTGCATTAGTGTTTGCATTTTAAGAGACCACCAGGTACCTGTGAAACCTTCATTTTCCTTTATACTGATTTGAATCACATCTGTGTTAAACAATCAATATTATCTTGAAATGGCATTATTTGGTTTGATCCATGTGAACACTCAATATATTATTCACATGTCAAAAACTACATAAAAACATCTAGAAATTTCTTGTAAACCTCTTAGAAATTTTTGTGGCTTGAAGGCCTTATGATGACTCAGCAGACACCACAAATTCTCCTAAGCACTTAGAGCAGTTGGCCCATCATTAATCATCTCACAGTGGGTCAACTTTATACTTCCACTTTTAGACTTTTCACAAAGTCACTTTCAAGACCTAACCAATCACCTTATATTCACCTTTAAATCCAAAACATTTGACATGTAGAAATATAAGCTTTTTTAAAATGTCACCCATTCCTTAAGGAACTCACAATCACAAACTCAACTAGTGCCATGTCTTGTGTCATTCCAGCCATGTTTCTTCTGAAATGTCATAGGTGAACTGTTTTCCAGTGAAATTAGCTGTGTCCGTCTGGCATGATCAGTCACCTCAGAGGAGTATTCTGCAGCAGTACTGCTTCTCCCTTACCCTCCCTATAGAGTAACCCTGAGGTTTTAGTAGCTAAGCCGTATTGCATTTGTGAATTCATCCTTTGTGGCTGTGGCCAACGTAGAAATGCTGTCCCCAAAGCCACAGACATAAAGGCCTATAGAAAAACAGTATGATGGGTTGAATTTTTGTACATCCCTTTGTCCACCCCAGTTCCTCAAAGGTCAGGTTGGTCTTAGTTCAACCCTGGTGATGTGGGCCTAAACTATATTCAACCCTGGCCCACTACTCTGACCTAATGTGGTCTGGGTGGACAGTAGCTGCAGGTGGCAAAGATGGTTCCAGCCATTTAGAGTTTCCCAGAAAACAAACCTAACCTAGTAAAACTCTAGCTCCTACCTAGTCTCTAAGAATCAAAAAACTAGGAGTAATCTGGGTATGGATACCCACACTCCAATTGAAAACCTACCCTAGCAGGCCTGCTCCAAGCCATGCCACACCCTTAGGAGTAGGCTGGGACCACACCAGTGTCTGGAACCCAAAGTTTAGAGCCAGGGGCACACAACTTGGAGGGAACAGCAGCCCTTTCTTTTCTTCATTGTGGTTTTCCATGGGCCCTCTCTGTCCTCCGTTTTGATTCATTGACCCTAAGAGTAGCATTACTTTCATATGTAGCATTAGCTGAATGTCAAGCATTTCCACAGACCTTCCTAAGAAGTTGTTGAGAGACAGCATTCTTCTGAAGAAGCTGTAGAAATGAAGTAGCAGACTTTATACTAGTGACAAAAGCAAATGCCTCGGACCAAAGTTAGGTATTGGCTGACTGAAGGGCTAGGCCACAGCCCAAAATATTACTTTCCTGGGACAGTGGGTCTTTTATATTTAACATTCAGCTCAAGCAAGCAGTAACCCAAATTTTTCTCGCGTTTGTCAGTTGTTTGATAAAATGACTTAACAGACTCAGACCTAATGGACTGTGGTTCTACTTGTTAATGCTATGATCTCATTTGCCCTGGGATATGCCACCATCAGCAGAGAAACCAAGCGTTAACTCTTGAAATGCCAAAATGAGTAGGCATTAAATACCTTGCCCTGACCACAGTATTTAATGTTTCTATCTTAAATTTTAAAAATTGAAATCTGAAATTGTATAACAGTAGGCCTAAAACTCCCCCTTGACTTTGAGAATTTGAAGGAATTCCCTTCCTTCCTGAAGTCTACTTTCTTGTCATTTATGGGTGAGAGAAGGGAAGCTTCTGTGCCTTTCTAGAAATTAACAAAGAACCTGTTGGCTCCTAGGCCAGAAATCCAGCATGTTATCCTAGCATGAAACTCCCTTTTAAAAAGCGAACACCGAAAGAGATGTTACAAATGAAGATACAGCCCCTTCAGCATGTCTGGAGACCAATACCACAATAAGGAGTAACAACAACCATAGGAATAAAGGCAGGAGTTTTTACGTAGGATGCACGATATCCAAAGGGACTTTATAAACACAGGCCATTGAGTCTTAAGACCTGACACATGGCAAGGATAGGACATGTGAGAGAAAAATGGATGGACGGTTGAAGAAAAGAGGGGAAAAGACCATGCAGTTGAACTAACTTCTTTTTAATTTCAAACAGGTATTTTTTGCATCCGTGCGATCTGGAGGAAGTAGCCAAGTGTTTTTCATGACCCTCAACAGAAATTCCATGATGAACTGGTAACAGAAGAGCACTTGGCACTTATCTTCATGGCGTTATTTCTAATTTAAAAGAACATAACTCATGTGGACTTATGCCAGTCTAGAGGCAGAATCAGAAGGCTTGGTTGAACATATCGCTTTCCCCTTTTCCTCCCCCTCCGCCCCTCCCAATACAGTCCATCTTTCAATGTTGCAGCCTGGTTGAGAAGGAGAGAAAAAGGTGGCAGGAATTTCCAGGAGATCCCCAAGAATGCTGCCTTGTCTGTGGACAAAGATGGACCATGTGCCCTTCAGAGTTAGGGATAGAAACAAATATTGTGTGCTCTTAAAATGATTAAGCTGTGTTATGGTGGGTTTTCAGGTTTTTACCTTTTTTCTTTACCCCTTTACTCTGTAAGAATGGGGAAAGAATGCATACTGAGAAAATGAGTCTGTTTTTAATTCTGTCTGCCTACTAGTTTTAAGTATATGGTATGTTGTAAAATTTCCAGTTTCCAGTGATGAGAGACAGCACAATAAATGTACCTTATCTCCTTACGCTGAAGGCCATAACTACATAGTGGGGTAATTTAAGAACTCTCTTGCCTTCACCAACCCAAAAGGTTGCTTTTTGATAGCAACTGGCTAATGAATTTTTAAAAGAGAAGAAAAATACTAGTTTTCCCCTCTTTTGGGAAATAGATTTTAAATGGCTAAACTACTAGCCTTAAAACTACTAGTCTAATAAAATCAACTACCACTTTTGTGAATCTGACAGGCCGTATTTTTATATGGCCCTTTACAGAATGGAGTGTGTTGAATAGGATACTAATGCCATTGAGTTGAGCTGGCCTAGAGATTGAGGGATTCTCTAACACAACTTTCCCTCAGCTATTATGCAACAGATCAGGGCAAAAGATGGGATGACAGATGGGGTCAGACAGAAAGAGCTTCTGGGAAACAAGCTTACATATTCTTTTTTAAAATGCACAAAGCCACCCCCCGCCCCCCGGCTAAGAGGTCACTTGGTTTGGGCTTCATTAGGACTGAGACTTTGTTGAGTTGTTTCTGGGAATTGGGGAGTGGATGATATTCAGGCTCTCAACATTCCCAGCGCTCTCCTGAGGGTGCCACTTTCTCAAGATGAAAACTGTGACTGAAAAAATTAATAATAAATGTTTCTGAGCTGCCTGTGTTCTCCCTGGGTGGGTGAGAGAAGGGACTAGACTCCTAAGCCTGCCTCAGATACAGGAGGCATCATTGGCTCCAATTTTAGAGAACTTGAAAGCAAGGCTTTGGACAAAATTTTGAGACCCTAATCACTTTACCTTCCTCCAAATTACCCAACATATGGTAAACAACATTTGTGCAGAAATATGTATGTATTTAGTTCAGGTTGACTTGTGTCCTTATAAACTCTTACTCAAATGATTTGAACTTTTACGTGACTGGGATTTTTTTTTTCCAAAGCTACAAGCATGGCCGCCTGTGGTATCAAGGTGTTGCAAACAATATCTGTGTTGCGCTTCCTGTTTTAACCTACCTCGTTTTGTTTGTTTTTGTTTCACTGTTCATCACAGCAGTGTTATCTCCAGGAGACATATAGAGAGCTCAACTGGCAATCTCAGGTGCATTTAACAATTTTAAAACAAAACAGTAGTTGACCAAATTTTTCTTCTTAAAAAATTGGAGGTGGGGGGAATCCAATGACAAAAATTAATGTGGCTTGTTTCTGGAGAAAATAATTACTGTAAATGGATTAAAAAAAAAAAAAAAAAAAAAACTATGATCCTACTGATTTTGCCTAAATACACAAGCAGCTGATGTACTATTAATGAGAACAAAATACATGTTAGGAAAATTGAATTGAGTCATTTGAATCTAGTGGTTCGGGCAAGGTGGGGAAGAGAAGGGGAAACATTCTAGTTTCTGTATTACATTATTCCCCTCCTGAAAAGGTGGTTGTCATTTGCATTTATTTAAAGTAGGTAATATGCAGGAATGTAACTGAGGATTATCTTCAGGCACTCAGCAAGATATCCTCCTCATGGTCCCTTTAGCTCTCAAAAGCAATGAAATCCTCCTGTTCTCATTTTTACTGCTGTGATTGTGCTGCTGAACAATACTGTCTTCTCAAATTTCATGCCACAAATTCAGCAATAACTTTTTGGATTGAATTTCACAACTACTGTAATTGGATGCTGATGTGGACAAAATATATTGATTTCGATTTCATTCCCGAATGTGATTGCCACCAGCTCTTTATATTGCTGCTGTGGTATTTTAAACCAGAAGCTTCTTTAAATTATGTTGCAAACTGATCTTTGTTTTTATGTTTTGTTTTGTTTTTATTTCTAAGTGATAAGTTTGAAACACACAGCTTTAAATGATTTTTTTATTATGGGATTTTGGGTACAGTTAAGAAATAAAAGGGAATCATTGTGTTTAAACATAAGGTAGTTTGTGAATGTATTTTTTAAAATCTAGATTCATTGAAACAAATCATAAGAAAACAATATTAATGCAGTCTTGTTTACAGTATGTACAGTGACATAACATAGAACATGAGCTTTTCTGGTGCCAACAATAAAACACAGACGTTAAACATCAAGCCATGCCTTTTATATTTTTGTACTAATATTTTACACTGAGTACAAGGCAATTCCAAATTTAAAAGGGGCCCCCAGAAATCTGTGCTCTTTAAAAGATAGATATTTAAAGAATTCATTGAGGCTTTTATCTTCAAAAATAAAGTTCCCTCCAGCAAGACAGACCCCAGCCCTGACATAAGGAGGCCTAGAACATGCAGAATATATCAGAATGGTGTCCTTGTGTCTCATCCAAACATTTTGAATTGCCTTAATTCTTTTTGGGGGTAGGGGAGGAATGGTTGCTTTTCATCCATTTTTATAGCATCTCAACAACAACAAAAAAATCTTTCCTTTTGATCTTTTTATAGGTGATTTTGTCTCTAGAAATTGGCTTATTTTATTTTTATTTTCCTACAAAGAGAAATTGGAGAAACTGAGCCCTCCCCTCAGAGTAAGTTTCACTAGATCTGCCAGTTCTTACAGCTCTAAATTAATAATCATCCAGTAAAATCTACTGAGCCTGCCCACACCATGGTCTGGGTCTGGGGTCTGACAGGTGACCATCATTCCTGGGGGCCACTCAAGGACACTGTAGCATGGATTCCTGCATCCAGTGGTGGCAGGAATGGATGCCCAGCGAAGTTCCTTCAAATAAGGAGGCTCTTCCCCCTGCCAGTTCCAGACAGACCACTGTAATACCACACAATACAAATGAAGACAGCTTTCACTAAGTTCCACATAAAATCAAACAGCTCTATTTTAGATCTCATTATTTTTCTTGGAGACTTCTAAACAATCCTTCAAGAAGACCTAGAACTATTATTTTTATTAAACAGGGTATATTAAGTTATGGGTGAAATCTCACAAGGCCACCTGGACAGGGGCTCCATTTTTCTAACACTTTGACAGTGTTTTCTATGGTGCACTCCTAATATACTTTGCATCAAGTACATGTTTTTTAAAAACACCTTTGTTCCTGGTTGTCAAAACCTACTAACAATTTTTTGTCTGTTCTTGTGACTCATTGGTAATCGGTGTCTCTGGTCCCTCCTGTCCAGTAGATTAGAAAGATGTGAAATTCAAGCTAGAACCATTTTGGTTTTATCCACTGCCAGAAAAGGAAGTGGCTAAAGTCTCACATTCCACAAAGTTAAAAAAAAAAAAAAAAATGCTTTCCCTACTATTTTGTGTACCAGTTCCCGTCACTGTATTCTTGAAACGTGGAAGAGCTCTTTGTGTTAACAGTGTGTGCTGTCTTTGAAAGTCTGCTTGAACAGGCATCACTTGCATTTGTGCTGATTGCTTTAAGATGTAAGATGTGCTACATTATTTTTAAGAAAGAAGATAGTTATTGATAAAACTTTAATTTTAACCTACTGCAGAAAAACATGAGAAAATCCACGGCATGCTGATAACAATTCTGAATGACCCTACTATGCTCTTTATATTCCAGAATCACCACTGATACCATGTTCTGATCATTTCAACAGTCTCTAACTTGTTAGTTACCTTTTAGTTCATTCTTCAAAAATTTAAATCTAACCAAATCAAGCAAAACATAACCAACCAACCAAAAACTGACCTCCCCTGAGACTACAAAGTTGTAACATAAATCTAAAATCCAGAAGTCTAAATTTGATTTAATTTACCTGCTAATATTTCTCATAAATGCCACTATATTTTCTCCTTGGTCACTATGTATCAGGAACCCTAAAGTTAGCTGTCCTTTCATGGATCTTAAATAAATTGGGTGTAAAATTGGTCCCAGCAAAGAAGAAAACCTCTTGAGACTTGGCAAGTTCAAAACTGACAATTTGTATATTTCTACCAAACATTTTCTAGGTTGTTTTTATTTCTACACCATAATTCTGGGAATTCTTCCATAGATAACTAGAATATTCAACAATTTGCTTAGCATTAAACAGTGTGAGGTCATAATCCTGTGCTTTGGACTTTATTCTTCTAGACCTGCCATTCCAGGAAGTGCTAGGATATACCAAAATAAAAATCCCCACAAACGCATTTTTAAACAAAAATTCCTGAGTAATATTTGGGTTTTTTAAAATCCAGATCAAAATCTTGGACTCTTCTGAGTCCATGATGATGAATGTTTGGGTGAAAAGTAGAAAATACAGTTAAAAATAAAAATGTCCTAAAGTTTATAGATTTTTGAGTTTGTGTACATATCTTTAAACTCACTCCTTGCATGATAGGGTTTGGTTTTAATGGTTTATTTTTATCAGCACCAAGTTGCATTGCACTATTGAGGCTGAACAAATGCTGCTGGAAAGGTGAGTTTTCATTTCTGGCAATGGATCATTATTTGTACATCGTAAATATCATGCCCAGCTACCCCTTTCCCTTATCTCTTTCCCTTGGGTAAATGTTAAGGAATAGTAATACTTATTATGGTATGTTTAAGAAACCTTGGACATTACCCTGAATCAAAATTTCAAATGTTAGGTTACAGCAGGAAACAGAAGATTACAACTTGAATGAGTTTTTTAAATTGAATGTTGTAAAACTATTTTTGAACATTTATTTGTGTTAATATAACTGTAGAGAGATGCCAAATGTGTAATATCAGAAGGGGAAACTACGATTTTGCTGTGCCTACAATTGTTTACATTTTTTAAATCTCCAGTTTTCAAAAGTATTTTAAATTGTCAAAAATTTGCTAAAACTGGATTGTAACCTCACCTGAGAATGAGAGAAGAAAAATCTTCCTGGCATATTTTCCAGTCTGAAACTTTTGGTTACTTTCAGGTATTTTTTTTTTCTTGCATACAAAAATCATCGAGAAAGTACTTTCTACAGTTATTCCAAGCAGTCATTAAAAATGCTTTCATAGGTTTTCCCACATGGTCACTACCATGCCCTGGAATATAATATGCTATCTTTGTCAAAATATGAATAATAAAACATTAATAGTAGGATGCCTCCTTGTTCCTCATTGCCACTTCCAGACTGTTCTCCCTTCCTCCTCCTGAACACTCACTGTTTTGAAGCTGTTGACATCAGCCTCTCAAGTCCCTACATTACCCTATTTTACTCCTCATTGCTCAAGAATTTTAGCTTTTGGCTCATTGTTGCTCTCTTTACCACCACCCTGTCATCATTCTTGATTATTTCAATACCCACTTAGACAGTCGTACAAATACCCTGGCTTCTCAGTTCCCTGGTCTTGACCAGTGAAACTTACCATTACTAATTACTACATGGGCTCCTTAAGTGAAAGCAGACAATTCTCATTGGCTCTAAGTACATCCCATTCAATCTCAGCAAATAAAGATAATTGCCCCAGAAACCGAATCCTCTCTTCTGCATCCCCTATTTTATCCTATTTCACTGCATTCTGCAGTGTATCTCGCTATGTTCTGTATGCTGCAGTATCTCCAGTCTTAAACACCCTCCTTGGCCCCATTACCCTGGCTAACTGAAATGGCCCAATAGTCCCATAGACAGTTGTTTTTGCTGTTAAAGCTTGAAACTTGTATTTGTTTTCCTTCAGTCCTCTCAAAAAATTATCAAAGAACTGGAACTCATCAGATCACAGCACCAGATGCCCTCTTGCCCCTCCCTAGTTCCTGTTTTCTTACACATTGTTACATTTCTTTCCTGCTATATAAATGCCTAGTTTTGGTCAGCCAGGGAGATGGATTTGAGACTGAGCTCCCATCTCCTTGGCTGCAGCACCCAACCAAAACAAAGCCTACTTCCTTGGCAATACTTGTCATCTCAGTGATTGGCTTTCTGTGTGGCAAGCAGCAGGACCTAGACCAAACCTAGTGTTTCGGTAACATAACTACTATCTTATTTATCTGCTTCTCTTCACAGAAAAACTCTCTAGGGG